CCCCCCCCCACCCTCTGGGATGTCCAGCTGTCTCCCCACTAGCTGTGAGCTCCGCCTTTCCCTTTTGTCCCAGCACAGAGCTATCCCAGGACAAAGCTCATGGACCCAGTTGCTGGGCCTGTTTCTCTTGGCTCCTGAGTTCTTCTCTCCCTGGTGGTGGCCTGAGCAGGTGGCCTTTCTGCTGGAGGCCAAGTGAAAAAATGAGCCAGCAGGGTCACTCCAGGCCAGGGTCGCTCCCTGCCACACCATGCTATGGAACAATGCATTCAGAGGGAGGGGCATTGCTGAGAGCGGGCCCGCTGACTGGGGCTTCCTCTGTATTTGTGGCCTGGTTCTCCCCGTGACTGAGCCAGTGGAAACAAGGCTGGTGGCCCAGTGTCTGCACACTTGTCCTCCCTGGCGTGTTTGAGGCCTGCGCGACAGGGTGGGGTTGGTTAGAGAGATCCTAAGGACTGTGGCCTTTGCTAAGTTTATACCTTTAAATTCAATCACAAACCAATCACTAAAGTGTGCCAGGCACCGGCACTTCCCACCTCACCTGCTCAAAGGCTGTGCGTTTGGGAAAGGGCAGAGGCTGGACCGGAACACAGCTCCACCAGAGCCAAGGCCATCCTCCACTGTGGCCTGCCTCTCTTTTGTCCAGGTACCAGTGCCTAGAAGGGCCAGCTAGCCAGGGGTGTGGGAGGATGCTAGGTCTGGACACTCGTGATTATGTCTCTGTCCACTCTGGCTCCACTGCTTTATTTACTGCTTCCCAGATAGATCGTCTAGTTTTGGATCTCTTTCTCCTGAGCAGGTTTTCTTATCTGTGAAATAAGGCAGTTAGATAGATGTAATGATTTTTTCCCCCCAAAACAGTCCCTTAGGATAGAATTTCCTTCAAAATGCAACCTTAGAGCTGGGAAGGTGGCTCAGCGGTAGAGTTCTTGTCTTGCATGCATGAGGCCCTGGGTTCGATTCCTCAGCACCACATAAGTAGAAAAAAGCTGGACATGGTGCTATGGCTCAAGTGGTAGAGTGCTAGCCTTGAGCTGAAGAGCTGAGGGACAGCACCCAGGCCCAGACTTCAGGCCCCACAACCAACAAACAAACAGACAAACAAAACCTCTACCTTATAGCAGCCTGATTTATAGCAAACCACAATGTATTGGCCCCGGAAAGATATGAGATTGTTTTAAAACTCCTTCTGAGTGGGACCTTCTCAGCCCCTATGACCTCAGAATCCCCCACCTGACTCTGAGGCCCTTCCCCCCACCCCTATCCCCCACCCCCACAAGGATATCACTTAGAAACAAGCCAATGGAGCCCTTCTGCTGCAGAATTACTAGTTACTAGTTACAAGCTCTAGCCCTTCTGCTGCAGAATTACTAGTTACTCCTGGGAATTTGGTTTGGCCACTGAATAGCTCCTGACCAACTGCTGAAATCCAAGGCCAGAGTGCTGGGAGACCAGGAGGGTGGGACCCAGTTCTGATGCTCAAGGAACTCTCACGATGATGGGGCCTGACACTCCTGGGAAATGAATGAAACTGTGCATGCTTTGCAGAGTCAGAGCCAAGAGCAGGGACTCTTCTAAACCCACAATATCCCTCCCAAAAGGGGCTCCTCTCCCCTCTGTAGGAGAGGGGATTTGGAGAAAAAGCTGTTTACTGATTGAGGCAGAAGAAGGAGAAAGCAGAGTGAGCTTGGTTTGAAGTTGCTTTTATCTTTAGAGCATGAAAAGAAATAGCTCAATGGGATAGTCCCCCACACACACTTCTTTCTCTGTACAGATGTAATATTTCTGAGTACAGAAAAAGCAAGAACAGGTGTTTAAACTCCTAAACGTGAATACAGGAGTTAATGTCTTAAACTATGTAAATGTCCTTCTTTTATATACCGTGTGTATGGTAAAATATTAGAAAAGCATGAAAGGGTCTCGTGAAAAGAAAATCTCCTATTCTAGTCTCCATCCCTTTCCTTGAAGATATTTTTCTTTTTTGGTCAGTCATGGGGCTTGAACTCAGGGCCTGGGCTCTGTCCTTGAGCTCTTTTGTTCAAGGTTAGTGCTCTACCACTTTGAGCCACAGCTCCACTTCTGGTTTTCTGGTGGTTAATTGGAGATAAGAATCTCATAAACTTTTCTGTCCAGGCTGGCTTTGAACTGTGATTCTCAGATCTCAGCCTCCTGAGTAGCTAGGATTATAGGCATGATCCACCAGTACCCGCTTACAGACCTTTCTTTTCTTTCTTTCTTTCTTTCTTTCTTTCTTTCTTTCTTTCTTTCTTTCTTTCTTTCTTTCTTTCTTTCTTTCTTTTCTTTCTCTTTCTCTCTCCCTCCCTCCCTCCCGCTCTCTCTCTTTTCTTTCTTTCTTTCTTTCTTTCTTTCTTTCTTTCTTTCTTTCTTTCTTTCTTTCTTTCTTTCTTTCTTTCTTTCTTTCTCTTGTTTGCTTGCTTGCTTGCTTTCGTCGGTCGTGGTGCTTGGGTACTGTCCCTTAGCTCTTTAGCTCAAGGTAAGTGCTCTACCACTTGAGCCACAGCACCACTTGCGGTTTTCTGGTGGTTTATTGGAGCTAAGAGTCTCATGGACATTCTTACCTGGGCTGGCTTTGAACCGTGATCCTCAGATCTCAGCCTCCTGAGTAGCTAGGATTATAGGCGTGAGCCACCGGTGCCTAGCTTGCAGACATTCTTGAGCTCTGGTTTCCTGTATATCCTCCTAGATATATTCTAATATATTAATTGATGTACAGTCATTCATGAGGGGTGAATTCTAAGAATTATGTCCATCAATTTTGTCATTATGGGAGCATTATAGAGCATACTTCAATTAAGACAGCAACAATCTTAGGGACCAACATGTCTATGCAGCTCATTGTTGACCAGAACATTGTTATATAACATATAACTGTATATTTGAATATACTAAGGTATATTTTATTTCCAACTGATAGCTATTTCTTCTATACCTATACCTTTTATTTACTATATCTTATTGATTGCTTCACCTCACCCCATAAGGAATCACATTTGATTTTGAAAGGCCACACTATACTTTATTATATGAATATATCATATGTTGTATTTATTTAACAGATCTCAAAGATAGACATTTAGGTAAGTTTTAAATAATGCTAGCATGAATACTTTTGTACAATACTTTATAAGTTACTTATGCAACTTTGGTTTTTAAAAAATCCTAGAAGCAGCTGGATGCCAGTGGCTCATGCTTATAATCCTAGCTACTCAGGAGGCTGAGATCTGAGGATCTCATTTCTAAGTCAGCTGGGCCAGGAAAGGCTGAGAGACTCTTAATCTCCAATTAAGCACAAAAAGCCAGAAGTGGAGTTGTGGTTCAAGTGGTAGAGCACTAACCTTGAGCACAAAAGCTCAGGGACAGTGCCCAGGCCCTGAGTCCAAACCCCATTTCACATTCATATGAGGGAGTGTCAAGAAATGTAAGATTGCGTTCCAGCATGGTGGGATGTCTGTCTGAAATAAGATCTTTCTCTCTCCTGCAGAGCTGCCCTCCCAGGGCCACCTGGACCTCACAGAGCTCATTGGTGTCCCACTCCCCTCCGCTGTGTCCTTTGTCACTGGCTATGGTGGTTTCCCAGCCTACAGCTTTGGGCCTGGTGCCAATGTGGGTCGTCCAGCCAGGACCCTCATCCCACCCACCTTCTTCAGGGACTTTGCCATCAGCGCGGCGGTGAAGCCCAGCAGTGCCCAAGGCGGTGTGCTCTTTGCCATCACTGATGCCTTCCAGAAGGTCATCTACCTGGGCCTGAGGCTCTCAGGTGTGGAAGACGGCCGCCAGCGGATCATCCTGTACTACACAGAGCCTGGCTCCCACGTGTCTCAGGAGGCGGCTGCGTTCTCGGTGCCCGTGATGACCAGCAAGTGGAACCGCTTTTCCCTGATTGTCCAGGACGAGGAAGTGACCCTCCTCATGGACTGTGAAGAGCACAGTCATGTGCTTTTCCAGCGGTCCTCTCAGTCTCTGACTTTCGAGCCCAGTGCAGGGGTCTTTGTGGGCAATGCAGGGGCCACGGGACTGGAAAGATTCACTGTGAGTTCAAATCCCCTCTTCATAGATCAGGAAACTATTTTTGTTCCTATTTATTGTGGTACTAGGATTTGATCTCAGGACACTAAACTCGCTAAGCAGGCACTTTAAGGCTAAGTGAGGTTTCCAGCCCTTTCTTGCACTGATTATTTTTGAAGTAGAGTCTTGCTTCCTACCTGGATGTGTGCCTGGACCATTATCTTCTTATTTTTCACACCATGTCCAGCTTCTTCCATTGAGATAGAGTCTCGTGGACTTTTCTGCTCAGCCTGGCCTTGAACTGTGATCCTCCAGTTCTCAGTCTCCCAAGTAATTGAGATTATAAGCCTGAGCCATTGACCTCAGCCTGCTTTTATTCTTATATGCTCAAAAAGGAATGCTTGCTATGCTAGGAAGAACCTCAAGTCTGGAACCCAACATCCAGCTGCTGTGGGCCTGAGTTTGGCTTATTGGTTGAGCACTGCCAAACCTGGAGAATGTTGAGGTGTTGGCAGCTAGGGAGAGTCAGTCATACATGCTTACTTTGCTGCCAGTGGGGGTGCTGGTGGGGCAGAAGTGGGGACAATGGTGGCAGCACTATGAGGAAAGACACTTTCTGGGAGCGGGCCACATGCACTTCAGCCCGTGCTAACACATGAGGGCCCTGGAGACAGGAGGCAGTTATGGCAGTCTATGCTCAGAGCACAGTGCTCTTCAAGAACTTCCCTGGCTATGGAACTTGTATTATATGGGACCAAGGCCAGGGCTCTCAGTCACATGGGCCTGTGGGCGATTTGTCTTTCCCATCAGCACCTGGGGCAGGGTAGTCTCACCCATCCGTTTCTTCTCTTCTAACCAAACACATTTTCCACTGGTGTTGGTGCTATGGATGTGTAATTAGTGACTTGTGACCACTTTGCTTTTCCCAGGGCTCCATACAACAGCTCATCATCTACACTGACCCCAGGACACCTGAGGAGCTGTGTGAAGCCCATGAGTCATCGGTGAGTTCCCCACCCCACAGTGGCCCTGTTAATCCCCCCAGGGATCAGCCAGGGAAGGCTAGGCACCCCATAATTCTTCATCTTCAGCATCCTGGAGTCTCCAAAATCTCTCCTCTTGGCCAGTGCTGCCTCGAGTCCTATTTTGGGGCTTAGTTTGCTTTTTAAGGAGACTCCTGCTGCCATCTCTGGTATGGGGGTTTGTGACTTATAAGGCGTCAGGTTCTCCTGGGTCTGTGGCAACCAATGGCCTGGTTTCCAACTTTGCTGCCAAGAAGGGTGCCAGGATTCTAAAATCGGAGCTAAAAATGCTAAGATATTCTGAGTGCCAATTCCTATAAAAATGAACCTAAATTTAGGTTGGTTTTATGCCTGGCAAGTGACTCAGTTCCTCAGTGAGGGGAGACATGGTGGCAGGGAGAAAAGAATGACCCCTTCCTTTCTTTTGTCCTTCCCTTCTTTGGGGTTCCCCAAGGGCTGGTGACAGCCCTGGGGAGAGGCTGGAGATAGAGGGATATTCACAGACCCAATGCAGTGACAGATTAATGTCAGAAGGCAAGGTGTGTGTGTGTGTGTGTGTGTGTGTGTGTGTGTGTGTGTGTGTGTGTGCAGGGCAGGGATCAGAGCCTGCTCAGTAGGTCTGAGGAGCAGTGGAGGAAGAAGGGACAGTGGGAAGCCAGTCAGAGAGGGCACTGTCTGCAGAGCCTGCCAGGCAGACACGGGGCATGATGCCAAAGTCCGCCACAAGCACAGGGCGGTGTTTCCGGAGGATTTGTGTTGCTCCTTCTCTTGGGGTGATGTCAACCTCTAAACAAATCATAAGTTGATCTTGTTAATTAGGTGTAAAAATAATAAAGAAAACATTTACCGGAAGGCCCCTCACAGGTAGGATATGGGGATTTGATTCTGAGCCTGTGACATTCATAGGGAGCTGGGGGAAGAGAAGCTATGGGGGTCATGCATTCATTTCTGCCCAGCGTTAGTGTGGGAGAAGAAACAACCCTGGAGTCCCAGAGCAAAGGCTAATCTAGAATAAAGTCCCAGCACTCAGGTGCCTCAGTGACCTTGGGAGGCTAATCATGGCAAACAGAAAGCCATAGTTTGGGTGCAATGGTTCTGAAGGTGGAGTTCCAGTAACAGCCTTGTATGGATAGGGAGTGAAGGAAACCTGGACAAAATGGAAGGTGAAATTGCAGGAGCTGTAAACATTATAATGCAGAGGGAAAGAAAGCAAATAGCCAATCACACGCTTTGCACTTGTCTCCTTAGTGCTGATGTCTCTAATACAGACATACACGTGCACTTTTATGTGTGCACACACATGTACATGGCACACGCATGTTCGCACTCATGCTCACACATGAACATATGCATGAGTGTCCGTAGTGATGCTTATACACACATCTCCCGTTTTCACTTGCAAGTTTGCACGTGTATACTTACACACACGTGTATGTGTATATACAATGCCCATGCATGCCCATATATGTACACACATGTCCACAAGGACATGCATGTGGGTATATATGCATGCGTGTATCCACATATGTTTGCACATGTTTCTTGCACACCTAATTTAGGCACATGTGCATACCCACACTTGCATGAAGGCACACAGGCATACCTGCATGCACGTGGTTCCTCTGTGGGAAGCCATGTGTATTGTGCTCCTGTGTAACCCGCTCGTCTACCCGGTGTGGGGCATGGTTTATCTCACCACAGGCATCAGGAGAGGCCAGTGGATCTCAGGAGATGGACACAGTGGCTGAGATCCTAGAGGCCATCACCTACACTCAAGCTCCGGTGAGTATGGGGTTGCTGCCTTGTAAGTGGGTTAGCTTTTCCAGGGATGTGTCCAGGACCCAGCCGGGGGTGTCTGTAACCTTCTCTGGGGATGGCCAGGAGGGTACTGTCCAAGTGGGCATTTTTCAAATCCCCCAGGTGAGCTGGCATGCCTGTTGCTCAGGGCCACCCATAGGCAGCGGTTGTGCTCTGCTGCTTCTAGTTCTGTGGCTGTTCTCTTCAGCTGCTCTTCTGCAGAACAGTGTGAAACTAACAGGCCTCTGGATCAGGTTGTCCTGAGAGTTTAAGGAGGCAGCATGGGGCTGAGGGAAGGGGCCTAAATGAGGCTATTATTACCTTGGCTGTGGAGTCCTCCCTGACCCTGTGCGAAAAGTACCCTTCCTCCTGGTGCTCAGGCTTCCTCCTCCCCTTGGGAACGTGCCCTGTGGTGAGGAAGAGGAATGGCTCCAACAGTTCTGAGTCTACCTGTGGGGACAGCAAGGAGCCCGTATTTCATGGGAAGTCATCTCTGACGGGACACAGCAGGGAGATGGGCATAAGGAGGCAAAAAGTATAGACCTTGAGCAAGAGGGATGTGGGTGCCGCATGAGAAGACCACTGTCTGCTGGTGCTTGAAGGACTTTGAGATCACCTTTCTCCCTACATAGAAAGATACAGAAAACTGCCCTTGGTAGGATGGGAAGACTGAGGTCCAGGGAGGGGAAGAGACAGGCTCAGGACTCCTGGATGGGCTGGGCTGGAGCGCAGGTCTCCTGCTGCTCCCTATGGGCCAGAGGGGGTCTCCTTGAGATTTTGAGCCTGAGGTTACTTCCCAGTGTACCAGCCTATAGTTGAGAGGGAGGCCAAGGACCCAGGGTGTCCTCAGAGAGGGACAGGAAAAGGGCAGTAGGGTTTGAAAGTCTGAGATAGTCACAGGGTGTAGAGCACGTACAGATGTGGAAGTGGGCACCCTGGAGGGTCAGGTGACGCTGTCAGAGTCAGCGGCCATGGTCAAGACTCAAGCCCAGCTGGGCTGGCTTCCCAGCCTGGGTCCTCTCCAGGAACAAGGCGCTGTCGATGCTGGGGCAGCCGTGAGACCACATTATCGCAGAGGGCTCAGCGCCCTCTGGAGAAGTGAGGAGGAACATGTGGCTGGTGAATGGCTGCCTGTGGTCGTTTCTCCAGCAATTTTAGTTTTTCCCCAATTTTACTTTTCTAGCTGGTTTTAAAAGGAGTTTTTGCAGATCAGAGTGTCACCAGGTATGAGGCCCAACTCTGTGGCTTGCCAGCTGTTGGTCTTCAACAAGTGATCACCTGTTCACATTGTGGCCTCCTCTCTGCTTCCTTTCGTTGGCAAGTGCCAAGGGTTAGATGACTATGAGATACTCGATAGTTTGTGGCACGTGGCAGCCCTGGGTGGGTGTTTATGCTGTTTACCACTGAGCAGTCATCTTATGAAGATTAGGAGAGGGGAGGTATAAGTATAGTGTTGGTATCTTATTCTTTGTTTTGTTTTTGGTACTGGTCCTTAGGGCTTGAACTAGGGCTTGGGCACTGTTTCTGAACTTCTTTTCCTCCAGGCTAGCATTCTACTGCTTGAGTTACACCTCCACTTCTGGTTTGCTTGTTTGTTTATTTTTTTTGGTAGTTTTATTGGAGGTAAGAGTCTCATAGACTTTCCTGCCCTGGCTGGCTTCCAACCACAATCCTTAAATCTCAGCCTTCTGCATAGGTAGGATTACAGGTGTGAGCCACTGCTACCTGACTGATACCTTATTCTTCTTGGCACCCCCTTCTGCAACCTGCTTCTTGGTTGGCTGACAGCTGGAGCAGTGGATGTGGCTGCCCTCTGTCATTGAGAGGACTCTTGCTTGCAGGGCCAGGGGGCTAGGCCTGGCAGTTCTGGAGCTGCTGTCCTGACTCTCATGTCTGCCCTGATCCTCAGCATCTCTTCTGCCTGAGCCCCTCCTCCACAGAGGTGTGGTTCCTACACTGCCAAATGCTGGGCTTGAAAGGTATTCTGGAATCTGATCTACACAGAGCAATGAGAGCCTGACCAGGCCTCACAGCCTGAAGGTGGTAGAGACAAATCTTGGGCTCCTGGGCCAGCATGCTCTCTGTCACATCATCCGGAGCTGGGGACTTCCGCTTTATCACTTCCTCAAAGAATTCTGTGGTTTTATTAAGGCAGGTTCTTTCTGCAGCCACCCCCCCCCCCGATGGGGCACATCCCTCTTGGTGTCAGACAGTTCCCTCCCTCCTCTGTCTGGCTTCTTCCTTGGACTAAATCTCACTTCCTCATGCTCCGCCTTTCCCAGCCTGCCAACTTCCAACATGTGAGCATAAGCAGCAGACTGAACCAGGGATTGCCTGCAGGGTCAGCCCTTCCTTGCTCTTCTCCCCATTTAGGGTGAGGGCCTCTGTTACTTCATTCCTGTCTGTCTTGCGGAATCTTTTCTGACATATCTTTGCATTTCTGGAACATTCTATCTTATGCTTAGTTAGCATTCACATCCCCTGTTTCTCAACTCTGGGGTTCCAAACTGCTTATGACTAAGTGTGAAGGGGCAGGAAGGGAAATCTTTCTATTTTTATTTTTTATTTTTGGTGCCAGTACTGGGCCTTGAACTCAGGGCCTGAGCACTGTCACTTAACTTTTTTACTCAAGGCTGGTGGTCTACCATTTGATCTACAGCCTTCTGGTGGTTAGTTGGAGATAAGAGTATCACAGACTTTGATGCCTGGTCTGGCTTCAAACCTTGATCCTCAGATCTCTGCCTCCTGAGTAGCAAGAATTATAGTGTAAGCTACCAGTGCCCAGATAGGAAGGGAGTCTTAAATTTTTTTTGTTATTATAAAGGTAATATACAGAGCAATTGGGAGTCTTTAATAAAGATGCTTGTTTAGACTACTTACCCAGTCATCCGGTAGGTGTGCAGTGAGGTCCACAAATTTCTGTTAACAACAAACTTGTCAGCATTCAAAAGACCTCATCATTTTTTGAGCACAAGGTGATAGGGGTAGGAGCTGGAATGGACGGCTTGTGAGGTAAATAAGAAACAAATCTGCTGTGTTCAGCTGCCAAGATTTCAGAGCTGGGAGCCGAGCATCAGTTCTGTATCCTCATACCTGAAAGTTACTTCCTTCACGTCAGAACTTCGTGGGGAACCTCTGCCCACCAGCAGCGGGAGCATAGGAGCCCAGCATTTGGGACCTAAAGGTTCAGTTCTTGCAGTCGAGCTTACTCGAAGCCCAGCTATCTGTCTGTCTATCCAGCAGCAAAGTTGTGCTAGGCAGGTTATTTCTCTACACTGAACCTTAGCTACTTCCTTTGTGGGGAAAGTGGGCCAGTAATACATTTCCAAAGGTGAAAACTGAATAAGGAGTATTCAGCTCTCCTTTTCTTATAAAGCCCCAGCCACTGAGTGGGTTTGGTGTTCTGAGCTTATTCAGGACTTTGTAACTAAATTATCTTCTGGGTTTTTTTTTTTCCTGTGAAGTAAATCTTTTTTGTGGGGGGGCGGGTCTCATTTCTCTCCAGCCTGAAGAAGCAAATGTTGAACCCCTAAACATACCTCCAACTTCCTCTCCCTTTGAGGACACGGAGCTTTCTGGTGAACCCATGCCAGAGGGGACCCCAGAAACCAACATGAGCATCATCACTCCACACAGCATCCCTGAGCAAGGCAAGTGGTGCTTTTCATAGTGACTACTGTGTGTCCAGCTGGGCCAGGTCATCGGGTCACATAAAACCTCATATCTCACCTTTCTTCCATCCTCCAAGAAAGAAGCTGTGTGTGTGTGTGTGTGTGTGTGTGTGTGTGTGTGTGTGTGTGTGTTGCACACGCATGCATGCGCGTGTGTGATCTCCAGATCTCAGCATCCTGAGTAGCAAGGATTACAGGCATGAGCCACGGGTACCTGGTTAAGAAAGAAATTATAATGGTCCTCATCTAATAGGATGAACTAAATCACAGAGAGGAAAGTAACCCAGCCAATACTACATAGCCTATAAATGGCACTGGATCTCACATACCTGAACTTTTTTTTTGCTTTTATTTTATTTTATTCTTATTTTGAAAATACTGTACAGAGGGGTTGCAATTACATGGGCAAGATAATGAGTACATTTCTTATCAAGCATTGTAGCCTCCTCCTTTGTTTCCCCTTCCCATCCCTTCCCATCCTCCCCCCTGCCCCACCCCCCACCATACCTGAACTTTTAACTTCCAGATTCCACTTCTCCTGGGGTTTTATGGAGAAGTGTGTAAGAATCATAATTGTTAATTGAATACAATCTCAACAGCAACTCTCCTAGCTGTCAGCCACTATTTTCTAGGCAGAAAACCGGGCCCTTGGAAAGAGTAAATGACATGCCCACAGCATGCAGCCCAAGGCTTGGCATGACACCAGAATCCCCCACTCATTCTGATCCTTAGAGGATCAGGTCAGATAGCTGATGGCCAGAAATGGACAGGGACCACTCTAGTCACCCAGCAGGTCCGAGGCAACTCTGGGAGGAGAGCAAGTCCCCTGGCTTCTCAACGAGGGCTCTGACCTCTGCCTGCTGGCCTGTCTGTGCAGAGAACCATTAGCAAAAGCCCGGTGGTCCTGGCCATGGTTTATGAATAGCTGATACTCTTCTCTTCGGTGGACTTGGGATCTTAAAATGAAAGGCAAGGAGCAGTAGGGCTGTGGGGCTGGGTGGAGGGCTTCATGAGTGCGAGGGAGCAAGATCTGAATGAGAGCTGGGACTCAGACCCTAGCACAGCTCCTCTGTACTTGGGGGTGAACCTTCCTCTCTACCCAGTGGACAAATGGCCAGAGGGAAACCCTGGAGCTAGCTGAAACCTTCCTTTACTTTGTGTTGTGCAAACAATCCAGATGGTGGGAAGAAAAGAGCCTGTACCCCTTTGTCCTAGCTAGGACAATATTTGTTCTCTATCTTTTCCCAGAGAGCATCTACCCAGAGGGTCAGGATTCAGGGCTGGGACTTGCAGCTGTTTTCTCAGCACCCCCTGGTGGTCACAGTTTTCTGTTTTTTTGTTTTTTTGGGGGTCCAGTAGTGGGGTCTGAACTCTGGGCCTGGGCACTGTCCCTCAGCTCTTCAGCTCAAGGCTAGTGCTCTACCACTTGAGCCACAGCACCACTTCTGGCTTTTTTTTCTGCTTATGTGGTGCTGAGGAATCGAACCCAGGGCTTCATGCATGCAAGGCAAGCGCTCTACCACTGAGCCACCTTCTCAGCCCCAGTGGTCACAGTTTAAAAGATATGAGCATGCGCTGATAGTCTTGTCCATAGGGTGGATGTGTTTGAGTGTAATGGGGGTGGGGGGAGGATCTGACCTGGATACAGTGCCCCTCCCAGCCACTACACTCTGTGGGACCATATTCTCCTGAAGAATGGAATTAAGAAAAGAAAACAAGCCAGGTGCCGATAGCTCACGCCTGTACTCCTAGCTACTCAGGAGGCGGAGATCTGAGGATCACAGTTCAAAGCCAGCCCAGGTAGGAAAGTCCATGAGACTCTTATCTCCATTAAACCACTCAGAAAACTGGAAGTGGCACTGTGGCTCAAGCAGTAGAGCACTCGCCTTGAGCTGAAGAGCTGAGGGACAGCGCCCAGGCCCAGAGTTCAAACCCCATGACTGACCAAAAAACAGAAAAGAAAAAAAGAAAATGATAATAGTAATATAATGTGTTAAAGTGCTGATCAGAGCAGGATCTCTGCTGTGGGATGCTAGTGAGGAAGCTGAGAAAATGTGGCATCACATCCTGACCAGGTCCACCAGCAGCCAGGCGGTGTGTGGGGTCCTTGTAGGGAGACCAGTAATCATCCTAGCAGGGGAGTCTGTGTGGACACACTTGACTTGGGGCCCAGCCATCATGGTTAATATCTTTCCTTCTTCCTTGCTTTAGGACTTCATTTTCTTAATTGCAAAAGGAATTCATGCATGTGGTAGCAATTTAATCACTATGCAGTTGTAGGAACAACAACAAGATAATAATTTTCTCTTTTTCCACTCCTATCATCTGGAAGAAACCAGTATGAACCAGTGTGGTTTGGCCAAGTAGAAATATAAATGTATAGACACACAAACGTACACATATACATGTAAATAATTGTTATGTGGTAACGCACATGTTATTGAATATGTGTATATAACAATGATAAAACATATATACTCACATGCACTTTTTTCTTGTTTTACAAATGCAGAGCCACAATGACAACAAATATCTATTACTTGCTTACTGTCTGCCAGGGATTTCATTTATAGTTTTCTTGAACAAACAAATCCTCCTGATGAATAATCCTCAAAACAATCCTAGGAGTTAGGAAGTGATCTCCCATTTGTAAAGGCAGAGCATTAGGTGCAGGCTAAACAACTTGCCCATAGCATGGTTACTATCCCAGGAAGTGGGAAGCAGGGCTCTAGCCAGGGAGGAAGTGCCAAAGCCCAGGATGGAAACCACCAGGACTATCTATAACTTTGCCATGTTGTTCTACAGCTTGGTTTTCCCCTCCACTCCTGCGTTACAGTAGTACAGACATCTCTCCAAATGTGTAGGTGAAGAGAGACTTCATTCTTCTCCAAGGCTGTGAAATGTAGTTACTAATTTCAGAATGCTGTCTTCCTCTAGGGTCTGGGGAGATCCTGAATGACACACTAGAGGGGGTTCACCCTGTGGATGGTGACCCTATTCCTGACATGGGCTCAGGGAGTGGGGCCTTCCTTGATGCCACTGAGGAGCAGGTGAGTGTATGATAAATTTCATTTGGTGAGTCCATGTGGACTTATTCACTTGTTTCCAACTTGATGGTGACTTTCATTGGGCACCATAGTCAACCTGAGGTTTTAGCTGAATCTTACCGACAGTGACTCTGTCTTGGTGATAGACCACAGCCCCCTCAGCCACTGGGTTCTATCTTCAAGAGAGAACCTTTAACTGCAGGTGTGTCAGTGCTATTGTGTAGAACCTCACAGTTTGAGGCCAGCCCAGGTGTAAAAGTTTGTGAGACTCCATCTCAACCAGCACAAAGGCTGGGTACAGTGGCGAGCACCTGTCATTCCCTGTGACATGGGGAAGGCAAGTAGGATAACAGACCAGGCTGGCCGAATATAAAGCAAAACTCTATGCTGGAAATAACCAAGATAAAGAAGTGAAAGGAAGAATAACTCAAGCGGTAGAGAGCCAGCCTGGCAAGCCTGAGTTCAATCCCCCCTCCCCCCCAGTAGTGCTTCACATATGTAGGCAGTTGCAGACCCTTTGTGTGTGTGTGTGTGTGTGTGTGTGTGTGTGTGTGTGTGTGTGTGCGCGCCTTTGGGCTAAGTCCACTTCAAGATGGACTTAGCCAGTGCCCCTTGGAGGGGGTAGAGCTTGTGGATTCTCAGTTAAACAACTTCAGACTGGTCTCATCCCAATCCTCTCTCTCTGCCCTTGGGACCTGCATGCTCCAGCATCTGCCTTTGTTTTTCCTGTGAGGAGAATTATAGGGCGGTCCTTGTGTCTCCTAACTCCCCAGTGGATTCATAGCAGTTCACCAGATGGTGTGTAGTGGTGGGCAGGGAGTTGGAAAGCCACAACACATTGGAGATTCTCCACAAAGGAATTCTTCCTCGCCAAGCACTCCAGCCACAGTGGATCCTGTGAATCTCTATAGTGCCCAGAGGCAGAAGGTGGACCACAGCCAGTGACCTGTGTCTTAGCTGGCCTCTAAGCAGCTAATGGCCATGTCCTTCAACATGTGGAAGTTACCAGTGCTTGTAGAATTCTACTTGCCCTTTGGGGCTGTGCTAACCTTGAGTCACTGGGAGTCTCATTTACTATCCTGAGATATCACCTTCTATTTTGGTGGACAGTAAGTCTACATGTACTTGACAGGTTATTATGAAAAAGGGTTCTGAAATCAGTTAAGGCTGAAAACGTTTCCTTCTACACCTTTGTATAGGCTCTGAGAAGTCCTGCAATAAGGAGATCCGCCCTCCTTTGATTAGTGTCATGTATTTAGCATCTAAAGGAGATATTTATTTTCTGTAGCATAGCAATTTGAGCTCAGAGCCTTGCATTTGCTAGACAGACACTCTAACACTGAGCTATGCCTCTAGTTCATGCTGTTTATTTTTGAGATAGAGTCTTTCTACTCTGATGTAGCTGGGATGACACTTTGAGCTTTTCTGGGGAGATGCAGACTTTTCTATTGGGCGGGCTTTGAACCACAGTCCTCCTGATCTCGGCCTCCCGAGTAGCTAGGTATGAGCCACTAGCACCTGACTTAGGAACTATTGTTTTTATTAAATAATTAAACTAAAATAAGAAGACAGAATAAACATAGTTGCCAAAGCTTCTCTATTCCCAGTCTCCTGTTTGCTGTGTAACCTTTGGAGAACCTGCTTGCACATTGCTGAGGGGAAACTGAGTCACAAAGAAGAAGCAGGCATGTTGGGGTTAGCAGAGGCTGAAGAAGACAAATGCTGTCTGCACATCTTCAAAGCACTATGGAGAGCAAAGTCATTGTCCATATGCATGGCTGGGATTTGGAGAGAGGGTGCGGGAGGTCCCTCCGTCCAGACAGAATGCACAGAGCTGGAGTGGGCTGGCTAGGGATGGGGTGGAGGCAATCACCAGAATCAGACACAGCAAACAGGCTTCTCTACTGCCTTCTCTCTCTAAATCCTGGATTCTGTGGCCAGAGACTAGTGTAGAACTGCGGTGACATCACAGATGTGGTGTACTTGAAGAAGCTATGGACATGCAGGCTGCTGGGGAGATGTCCAGTGCCCCATCCTCTCCCGTCACAGGCAAAGGACCAATGGCTGAGTGACTGGATCTTTTCTTTCCAGGGATCAACAGCCACTACAGAAAAGGAAGCTATGGTATCTGTCACCAATGCCCAAGCAGCAGAGGTTAGCAATGTGTCCACTGGGATCCTGGCCATGTCCACCCAGAACCCAGGAGAAGTGGCCAGTCCAGTAAGTAGCTCAGTACATGCTCCGTTTTACCTGCCCCAGGCATGAATCACCTGGTGGAAGTGGACACTGGCCTTCCTCATCTTCTACAGCACTTTGGGGCTGAGAGTATGGGCGCCGAGCGACTGGCTGAGGCATAGAATGCTTGTTCTGCAGACATTTGCCACATACTTCATTTGGAACTGGTGGATAGACTTAGTTCTGAAAGACATGAACCACTGTTAGAAGGACAAGGGTGGAAGCCACTTTCTATGATCTGGGAGCACTATGAGTCAATGGCACACACCTGTAATCCTAGCTAAGAGGTGAGGATTACAGTTTAAAGCCAACCCAGGCAGGAAGGCCTGCGAGGCTCTTATCTCCACTTAACTAACAAAACGATGGAAGTAGAGCCATAGCTTAAGAGCAAAACAATTGAAGGGACAGCACCCAGGCCTGAGTTCAAGCCCCAGTATGGGCTCCAAAGCCTTGGGGGTCAAGGCAATGGAAAGTAGACCTGGGTTGACTAGAGTAACTAGGGCAGGTGGAAGTGGGTGAAGATTCCTTGAAGGGGAACAAGAGCAAAGGCCTGGAGATGTCACAGGGAATAAAGATATACACTACACCACAGGGTCAGCTGTGAGCCTGGGGTTGGGGACCTAGGCAGGAGAAACTTCTGAGATGATTGAGGACTTTGGTGCCCTACTGAGAGGACCAAGAAGAGCCAACAGAGGGGAAGGGCCACTGAAGGGCAGGAAACGAAGAGATTGTACTGTGACTAAAACTCTAGTAAGATCCCCTTGACTTCTGAGAGAGAGGAATGGGGGGGGCGGTCAGCCAGATTCAGGGGAAGGATTGGATTCTGTACTGGGGTGAGGTGAGCTATGGCTCTTAGGGGTTCTGGGGTGTGGTTGATCATGTCCAATCCTGCCCACAGTCCTGGGGACTGGGAAGTGTACACTGACCTGTCAACGTGACTGGGTGACATCGGAGAGAGCAGTCTGGGGATGTGGAACAGCTGACAGTCGGGTGGCACCAGGTTATAGAGAGCAGAAAGCTCTAGAGTGCAAGCATGGGCGGGGCGGGGGCGGGGTGCGCTCCACACTGAGGAGTGGAGTGCTGAGGTTGGAGGTTGGAAGGGACAGCTGAGGGTGGTAGGAAGGAACGTGGATGAGGATTTGCAAGGGCCCAGGTTCTGCACCGATGCTGCTTAGAGGGCTGATCTTGGATGTGCATTGAGGCTACAGGAGCGACAGGATACAAGTTTTAAAGGGGGCTGGGTGGTCTGGCTCCCTCCTGCCTCAGCCCAGTGGCTCAGGGTCACATTCTGCTGACGTGGACTGCAGGAGTGTCTTTCTCTTCAGGTTCCAGAGAGTGAAGAAGGTGTAGCAACAACAGCAGCAGCAGGTGGGACCGAGGCATCCATCAGCACTGCAGGGGAAGCAGAGGCTGGCAGCATGCCTACTAGAGGGCTGGCTCTGTCCATGATCACCCCGAGCCCTGAGGAACAGACCACTCTGGTAAGAAGCAGGATGCACCAAGTGGAGCCTTCACAGAGTGTGAGGCTCACACTCAGCAAAGCCAGAGGAGGCTGCCCGCCTGGGGAGGGGCAGCTGGAGATACATGCTCACTTGGGGCAAGTGGGAGGTGCTGGGTGGTATCCTGTGTGTGAAGGGAAGAGATGATGGAGTTGTAATGAGCTGTTAGGGAGGCGTGGGGCCTAGCAGAAAGAGCATGTGCCCAAGCCTTCTCAGCCATGCATCTGGATATACGCACCTCAGAGAGCTGGGCCACTCTGTATGCTCAAACTAACTCACAAACCCACCTGGGTCCCACCTCATATGAATGAAAGAACTCTAGCTGCCCGATGCAGAATTCTCTTTCCTCTTCCTTATGCCCCATTACATCTCATCAGGTATCACGTCCTGTTGATCTTTCTTTTTTCTTTCTTTCTTTCTTTCTGTCTGTCTTTCTTTCTTTTTTTATTTTTTGATTTTGGTCCGGTCGTGGGCCTGAACTCTGGGCCTGGGCGCTGTCCCTCAGCTCTTCAGCTCAAGGCTAGCGCTCTACCACTTGAGACACAGCGCCACTTCCAGCTTTTTTCTTTTTGCTTATGTGGTGCTGAGGAATTGAACTCAGGGCTTCAGGCATGCAAGGCAAGCGCTCTACCACTGAGCCACCTTCCCAGCCCCTCTTTCTTTCTTTCTTTCTTTCTTTCTTTCTTTCTTTCTTTCTCTCTCTCTCTCTCTTCCTTTCTTTCTCAAATATTTTTATTATCTGTAAATAGTTATACAAAGGAGTTGTCATTCAACAAAGCAGCCTATGAATACAGTGAATCTTGATCAATATCACTCATCATTCTCCTCCACTCCTCTCAACACCCCCCTCCTCATTTTTCTTCCGTTTTTAGACATGTATTGAATTTTTTGGCCATTTCACAGAGCAGTTTGTGTGTACAGTGTATCTTGATCTGTGCCATCCCATCAACATCTTCACCTCCCTGCAACCAACCCCTCCCTTTATTTTTCTTACTAATTTTGTGAGGTGCGTACAATGCATTATTGACTGTTTTCTTCCCAGCTTCCCACCCTTATTCATCTACCCTGCTCCCCTTGGCCCCACCCTCCCTCCATAATACTGGTAGAAAAAGCCTGTCTGGGTGTCAGCCCTCTGCTTGGGAGTTTCCTATCACCCCACCCTGCAGACCCAGGTGCCCCCCACCCCCCCACCCCCCACGGAGAATCCTGGCAGGGTCTGGCTGGCCAGCCTTGCTGACCCCATCTCTCTCCTGTCCTGGTACTTCAGGCTTCCATTCAGACCTTTCCATCCCTGAGAAGGCCTCTTCCCCTCTTGTCTGAAGTCTTGCCATGCACAGAGCCTCCCCTGCTCCCCTCCCCTCCATTCTTTCCTAGCCTTCAGAGTGAGCTCAAGTGCTACTTCCTCAGGAAGGCGTCATCTTGGGTGTGAAGGCGCCGCATCCTTGTCCTTGGAAGGCCTTGTCATCATTGTAACTTACCATGAACTTGGTCACTAGTTGGCTCCCTAGCAGAGTGTGAGTTCTCAGTAAGGACGGGGCTTTCAGAACCATGTTCTGACAAGTAGCAGACACCAAATGCCTTGCAGGATGGATTTGTGGAGTATGGCCTGGCCATGCCAGATCCACAGCCCTGCTTTCTGGTTCACCCACACACATCTCTCCAGTCTGTGTTACGTGGACAGGCAGTGTCCCAGCTCTCTTCTAGCATCCTCACAGGGATGGGACAGGACAGGAGGACACTCATTACCCATCACCAGTCATCTCCTGGCCATTGGCAGTTACATGAATGATTTCAGAGAACTAACTAGGCTTTGGGGGTTTGCTGTTTGTTTTGTTTTGCTTTAAAAAACTTTTTTATTGTTATCATAAAGGTGATGTACAGAGGGTTACAGTTAACGTAAGTCAGGTTTTGGACCATGTTACCCCTTCCCTTGCTCTCTCCCAGTTTTTCCCTCCCATCCCGACCCACAAGTTGTACAGTTCATTTTCAACATAGCGTTTAGGGAGTACCTCTGCTGCATTTATTCACCCATTGTCCTTCCATTTCTGTGCTCCCTCCTTCTCTCTCAAGGATAGATAGATGAACAAACAGGACAAAAATAAAATGAAACAAAACAGCAACAAAGAAAAAAAAACCTCTTGTTTCCATTTCCTGGTTTCAATAAATATTATTTTATATGCTCAGGTGCACATAGGCATGTGTCTTTTGTTCCTCTCCTAAGAGTATACTTTACTTTCTAAAAATAGACTCTTACTATGTGATTCAGACTGGCCTCTAACTCCTGGTTTGCCTGAGTACTGGAATTACAAAGCAATTGTAACAGGGTGTGAAACTAAGGCTCATGTTCCAGTTCTACCAAGTCTTAAATGAATAGAAACTAGAACTTACTAGGACGAGCTAAAGTGCTACCTGTAGAGATTTTAATTCCTCCACTACAAGAAGTATGCCAACTATGACCTGATAAGCTCCAGGCAGAGCCACGCCCCGCAGAGCCTCTGGACGTGGGCTGGGGGTACCCTGAGAAGTGCATTCTGACCCAGAGCCCCAGCGGTCTGTGTGTTAAGGCATAGTTATCTTTCAGTGAGCAAAGGGAAGGAAAGGAAGGAGCTGCCTGCTAGCTGGTGGCCCCTGTGTGTCCCTGCAGTCACGGGCATGCCCAGCTTCAGTGGCACCATTCCTTACGCTTGTTTTATTCCAGGTTCCAGGTGGTGAGGTAGGTTTAACAACAGCTGCAACCTCACCAAAAGTACCACTCAGCACCGTGGAGGAAGAAGAAGCTAGTGGGGACCCCACGGATGGCCCGACTGCCTTCACACTCCCACCCACCCCTGGACAAACATTCACCTCTGTAAGTGTCAGATAGCACCCTCTGTGGCTCAGGGGAGAGAAGGGTCAGCACCCTGGGAGCAGAGCAAGTATTGGCCTCCTCAGAGGCGCAACAGGCCTTGATTGCAAGGTGTCAGCTGGGAATGAAGCATGACAGAAGCGGGTCGGACAATGGGTCTTGTCCCAACCTACTGCCTCTCAGCTTTGTCTAAGAACTTTCTGAGAGATGAGTGGCCCAAAGGTGGTAGGGGAGGGGTGTCTAGGAGCAGAGCCCAGAGCAGATGGATTTCTACAGGTTTCAGTTTGTACTTCTCAAATGTGCTGGGGGGTGGTGCTGGGTAAAAAGGGTTTTGAGCCAGATACTGGTAGCTCACACCTGTAATCCTAGCTACTCAAGAGGCTGAGATCTGAAGATGGCAGTTTGAAGCTCCCTTAGAGAAGAAAATCTGTGAGACTGTTTAATTAATCACCAAAAAGCCAGAAGTGAAGTTGTGGTTCTAGTGGTAGAGCAATAGTCAGGAGAAAAAAAAACAAAAGCTCAAGGACAGCACCTAGGTCCAGAGTTCAAGCCCCAGGACCAGCACAAAAAAGTGTTTTGACACTAGGTTGGTACCACAGAAATGTCACATCTCACAGCTCCCCCAGCCTCATGGCTCCCCCATGGGTCTCCTTTTCAGGCACCTGTTGATGGAGACATGGCCACAGCTTCCACAGAGAAGACTGAGGAGGAGGGGTCAGGTGGCATGTCCCCCCCTGGGCCACTGCTCCCCACTCCCACGGTGGCTCCTGAGAGACAAGTCACTATGGTGAGTGGCCTGGAAGTATAAAGTCGTGACTGGCAGGTTCACAGGGGTGAGAACGGCTAGCCCCTGGCCTTCGTAGAGGTGGACATATGAAAGCCTTCAACTTGGGGACACTGGAGGAGACTGCAATTGGGGAAGGAAAAACAAAAGGTGAAAATCATCTAGCTACTCAGGAGGCTGAGATCTGAGGATTGCAGTTCAAAGTCAGCCCAGGCAGGAAAGTCTGTGAGACTTTTATCTCCACTAAACTATAAACCACCAAAAATCTCTAGAAGTTGAGCTATGGTAGAATGCTAGCTTTAAGCAAAAGAAACTCAGACCCTGAGTTCAAGCCTCAGGACTGGCAAAAATAAAAATAAAAGGAGTAAAAATAAGAGAGCCTAGCTTCAGATCACAAACTACCTTTTTCTTTCTCTCTCAGTCCTGAGATTTGAACGCAGGGCCTCTCATTTGCTTGTATTACTTGCTTATGGCTGGCACTCTATCACTTGAACCATGCCTTTTATTCTCAATTTTTGGTGGTTAGTTTGGAAATGAAGCCACAACTCCACTTCTGGTTTCTTTGGCTGTTTAGTGGAGATAAGAGTCTCACAAACTTTCCAGCCCAAGCTAGCTTCAAATGGATCCTCAGACTTTTCTGCCTGAGCTGACCTCAAACCTCAAGCTTCTGGCTTCCTGAGTGCCTATGATTATAGGCCTGAGCCACTGGTGCCTGCTCCAAGTTGCCCTTTTTCGTTCAAGTGAGATCTTCCTGTCAGGCAGCAATTGGAAGGATGCCACTCTGAGCACAAGTTAGACACAGCAGGAACTGAAGGAGATGGGAGCATCTATGGGAACCCCTAAGGCCTGTAGCAAGGTTCCAGGATCCTGAGCTGTTGCTCTTTAACCTTGACGAGACCTTGGCTTCTCTAAGCCTGTCTGTAGAGTGGAAGGGTTTGGAGCAGGTCACAGGCTGTTTGCATCTTGCTGTTGCACACTCTGGAGGTTGTCACCACTTAAGAACATTACCTTTGTCTTTTAGAAAAAGGAAACCCAAAGCTGGGTATCAGTGGTACCTAGCTACACAGGAGGTTGAGATCTGAGGATCAGGGTTCAAAGCCAGCCTGGGCAGAAAAGTCCATGAGACTCTGATCTCCAATAAACTCAGGAAAAGCTGGGAGTGGCGCTGTGGCTCAAGTGGTAGAGTGCTCGCCTTGAGCACAAAGAGACTCAGAGATAGTGCGCAGGCCCAAAGTTCAAGCCCGAGGACCACAAAAAAAAAAAAAAAGAAAAAAGAAAAGGAAAAGGAAAAGGATGAACCCAGGGGATGAAGTCACTCATCAATGGTGAATGAATATAGCTGTGAGGAAAGCCTCCCATTGGAGGACCAGGCCAAGTGCCTCAATTTCCCAAGCAACCTCTGGGTGTGAACACTGTGACAGTCAGGACTCATTCACTGCAGGGCTCCTGGCTGATGCAGAACAGAAGGGCTGCAGGGGAGATAGAGAGAACCCACTGGGAATCTTGAGCATCCCTTGTCCAGTGGCCCAGCAGTCACCATATTGCTTCATATCTGCAGAGTTCCCCTTCACTCAGTCAGTGTATCCACGTGGTACCTCTGGGCCCTCAGTCCAGATCCTTACAGATATATATATATATATATACATATGGAGTCCTTCCTGTCTCAGAGGAATTCAGTCTCAGGGTAGGAAATAAGTCATCTATGTGGCATTGGCATAATGATCTGATCCCATTCACACTGCCATCTTCTGGTGGGAGGTGACCATCTCCACTCTGGGCAAGGAAGGGGACTGGGGCGGGAGAGGCCGTGTCTACTGAGAGGCTGGGTTGTGGTATCTCCAGACGGCTGCCTGTGCAGCCCTTATACTTGAACTTCCTCACCCCTGTTTTCACCTGTGAGACCACAGTGTACCTAAAAGACCATCCATGAAAAGCAAGGAAGCAAGGGGGTCTTCAGGGTGCTCCATTCTTGGGGTCCACCCTCTCGGCTTTGTTTTGTTTTGTTTTGGGGGAGGCAGGGGGCGGTTCTTAGGAATGGTCCCTAATCTTTTGTGTTCCAGGCAAGTGCTCTACCACTTAAGCCACAGCTCCACTTCTGGCTTCTTCGGTAGCTTAATGGAGATAAAAGTCACAGATTTATGGACTTTCCCTCCTGGGCTGGCTTCAAATGCTGATCCTCAGATCTCAGCCTCCTGAGTAGCTAGGATTACAAACATGAACCACCAATGCCTAGCTTTCCACTGTCTTTTCATTTCTGTCTCCTACCTTCTTTTATTCTGGTTGCCATTGGTCTGTTAGTGACACTGCACTGAACCAGCCACCCTTGTATCCTTGTGTTTTCTACTTTTCAAAGTTGGCCTGGTGGAGCCAGCTAGGGCTGTAGGGGGCTGGGGGTTTAGTGCTTCTGGGAAACTATCCACATACATAACAATTACAAAACTGCATTTTAATAAATTAACCATCATAAAACTGTAACCAGAAACTTTTTGTTCTAGAACTCCATCCTAATGAAGTGTGATATGTAAAAAAAAATTTTGTTCACAAGGATGTTAATCTTAATATTGTCCATAATAGAGAAAAATTGAGCATGATTTAATTAGCCAACAATAGGAGATTTGTTAAATTGAGGCAGAGATTTATTAAATTAAGGCATATTCAAATAATGCAACATTATGCAGCTATTAACTTACTCTTATTAGTATTTAACTTGCCATATTATGTGTTGTAAAAGAAGCTAGTTCCAAACTAGTTGTGTGGTCTTGACTTTTTTATAAACATACACATGTGAAAACCCTAGAAGAAAATTTCCTCCCCTTCCCAAATGTTAGCACGGTGGAACTCTGGGAAGTTGGTAAGTTCTTAATGTATTGTGTGTGCACATGTGTGTGCATGCACGTGCATGTATGTGTGTGCTAGTCAGAAGCTGGAAGCTCTCCTTCAACTTTTTTGTTCAAAGCTGGCATTCTACCATTTGAGCTACAGCTCTACTTCCAACTCTTTTGTTGGTTAACTGGAAATAAGAGTCTCAGAGACTTTCCCATCTGGGCTAGCTTTGAACCACGATCCTCAGATTATAGCCTCCTGATTAGTTAGGATTACAGGCATGAGTCACTGGTCTTAATGCATTTTGAAAACCATTTTTCCAAACTATTGCTTCTATGGTTTGGAAACCTGATAACTTTTACAATAGTTATTAAAAATGTTTTGACTGTTATTATAAAGGTGATGTAAGGAGGGATTACAGTTACATAAGTCAGGTAAAGAGTGCATTTCTTTTTGGACCACGTCACACCTTCCTTTGCTCTCCCAGTCTCCTGCATGCTAAGCAAGTGTTCTTCCATGGAGCTACACTTCAGCCTCATGATAGGTGTTTTTTTTTTTTTAAATCTCTTTGAAGGGGAGGGTAGAGAGTTGAGGCAAGAGGGAAAGGAAGGGAGGAATGGATACGCATGCAAGGTGGCATCCTGCACATAACTTTAGGAATTTAGTTCCAGAAAAGTGTTTTGAAAATGTCCTTTACATCTTTGGATATCTGAAGAGATCAACAAGTGTCAGTTCTTGTGCTGGCCTCAGGACAGACTGTGATCTTGGGATTAGGTCTGCCCAGAAGGACCCTCAGATACCCCTGCACTTGAAGTTAGCTTCAAGTCAGCACCAACGTGAGACTTAGAGTCCAGAGCTGGTGGGAGCACAGGAGGAGGAGATGAATATGAGTTGTTTCCTCATGGAGGAGATGGCACAACTGGGCCTGGAAGGAGGAAAGGCTGAGAACTGGCCATCTGTGGGATGGATAGCAGGAGAAACGGCCAGAAGGGAGCTGGCGGCAGCAGGCATAGGGCTCTGAAATATGGGTATGCCCTGTGACCTGTCTGCGTTGGCTGTTGAATCTCAGTGGTGATTCCTTCTCTGCAGGTGCCAGGCTTGGGTTCTGAGGGCTCGGGCCTGGGCTGGGGACTGGACGCTGGCTCAGGCTCCGGGGACCTGGTGGGCAGTGAGGACCTGTTAAGGGTGAGTATGAAGGGCGGGGTCATGTGGTCATGTGGTGTCTGACTATATTCTAAATGACCAGGGTCAGGGGTTGGGGGTGAATGGGCCAGCACAGCAGACTGCTACTGCTAAGACCACGGGCTTCTTTTTACTCTCTCTTTCTCTTTTGCTCTTGTATGTGTTCAAAACTTTCACTCTGAGCAATTTTGACTTGGTTTTGGTGAATCAGGGGTCTGAATTTGAACTCAGAACCCTCTCTTCTCCACTCCACTTGGCCCACTGACCTTTACTTGTTCATTAAAGAAACCTCTGGCCTTTTCTCTGCTAAATAGCATTTCCTACCTCGTACCACACTCTCCCTCTCTACCCTTCCCAACTGTTGTTTCTCCATCCTTGGCTCCCAGCCCAAGGCCAAGTTCCATCAGCCCCTCCTGAGATTGCTCCAGGGGAGAGGCCCCTTCCTCTAGCTGCCCCTGTTGCTCTGTCCACCTCCCCAACCCCGGCCTGACCTCATCTCCAGCCCTTTCCCCATGACCCCAGCTAGAAGCTCTATTTAGCTGGCCTCCTCTTCCCACCCCTGTGACCAGGCCTGGAAGGGCTCTGGGCTCTGTGGATGAGTGGAATAAGAACCCAGTGGAAAGCCGGGCACTGGTGGCTCACACCTGTAGCTACTCAGGAGGCTGAGATCTAAGGATCGAGATTCAAAGCCAGCCCGGGCAGGAAAGCCTGTGAGACTCTTAGCTCCAATAAACCACCAGAAAACCGGAAGTGGTGCTGTGGCTCAAGCAGTAGAGCACTTACCTTGAGCCTAAGAGCTGAGGGACAGCACCCAGGCCCAGAGTTCAAGCCCCACAAATGACAAAAAGAAAAAGAACCCAGTGGATCATCTAGGCTGGTGAGCTTGGCTCACCCAGCAAAAGGCTAAAGTTAGTCTGTACTGGTGGTTCAAGTTGGTAATCCTAGCCATTCAGGAGGCTGAGATCCAAGGATTAAGGTTCAAAGACAACCAACATAGATAAACCCAAGAGACTACTGTCTCCAGTTAACCAGCAAAAAAGCCTAAAGTGGAGGTGTGGTTCAAATAGTAGTGTCAGCCTTACACAAACTACACACACACTCACACACACACATGCACAAACACTAAGCAAGAATTCAAGGTCCTGAATTCAAGCCCCAGTACTGGCATAAAACAACAAACAACAAACAAGCAAAATAAAACAAAGATCCCTGTTTCCTTCTCTCACTCACCCCTCCCCCCACCCCTTCCCTCATTCTATTTTTTCAATTTTTAGGTTATGTGTTTAACTTTTTTTCCCATTTAACAAAGCAGTATTTGTATCTAATACATCTTGATCTGGGTCATCCCTTCAACATTTCCCCCCTTCTACCCACCCCTTCTCTTATTCCTCTCAATTTTGTGGTATATACAATGAATTCTTGCATTCACTCCCCTTCCCTAGTTCATTGTTTCACCCATCCTTCTCTCTTGCAAGTGCCCATTTCTTGGTATTTATTTTGTTGGGCTTTGACTTAGTCTTTCTGAAGATTTATGCTATTTGCACTCTGCATAGAGTCTATTCTATTTCAGTTAATTGGTTTATAAATGCTTGCATACCACCCAGTGTATTTCCTTGTAGATTTATAGGCACATTCTAGCTACAAATGAGGGAAACCATGCGACCTGTATTTCTCTGGGTCTAGATTATTTCACTTAATATAATTATTTTCCAAGTCTTTATATCACCCTTTGGGAGAAAACATGGCATAATGTGCTTGAAAAGTCCTAGATTCGACTCCTAGCTCTTGTACTTACCAGCTAGGAGTGAAAGTCCTTGCGTGACATTTTCTCTGAGCCTCATCTTCGCCCTCTGCTAGGTGGGAACACCAGCCCTTCACGGGTTGTCACAGAATGGAGAGAACACAGAAACCAAATGTTCAGTGTATACATATCTGCCTCCTCTCCTAACACAGTGTCTGTTTCTCAGGGTCCTCCTGGTCCCCCAGGCCCACCTGGCTCACCGGGGATTCCAGGAAAACCAGGAACAGATGTTGTCATGGGCCCTCCTGGTTCTCCTGGGGAGGATGGAGCTGCTGGTGAACCTGGGCCCCCGGTGAGCAAATGAAGTTTTCTCCCTGTCTCTGTGTCTACAGGCTTCCTTGAGCCACGCTGTGTGTGTGTGGGGGGGGGGACACACCGATTGTAGATCCAGTGGCTGGCTGATGTTTATAAGGAAAAGGATAATCTTCCTCATCTGATATAGTGCTTTCCAGTTTGGACATGGACAGTACAGAAACACAGCTCATAGGTGATCCTGAAACTATAGGACTCTCTAGTCCAGTCTTATTCCTGGAGCCTTCCCAGAGGAGGAGTCAGTGACCCAAAGAGTGAAGGATCCTATCACAGGGCCACTGCTAGCAGTGACCCAACTAGGGCCAATCCTTGCTCCTACCAGCCTCGCTCACCTCCCTGCCCAGCTCCCCTTCCTAGCAAAGGGTTGTGCGTGATTCTTAAACAGAGCTGGGTGGGATGATTGTCATTGATGTTCCCAGGGCCCTAAGGGACAGCCTGGACCTGACGGAGACTCCGGCAAGCCTGGGATGAAAGGAGAGAAGGTAAGGGGTCAGTGGGAAGCTTCCAATGTGGGGAACCAGCAGAGACACCTTCTGTGACTTCCCAACTTGATCTAGCCTCCTCTGCAAATAACTCTCTGCTATCCCCTCCTGGTCACCTCTGCTGACTGTCCCCATCATGGGTCTCACGATGCCCCAAAATGTGTTCAGCATCTTTCCTGTCTATTCGGGTATGTTTCTGTTTTGGTGAGCAGTGCTATGTACAACCAGTAATCTGCACTCAGATACTGTCCCTCTAGACCCCCCCACCCATCCCCCCCACTCCTCTCACTCCCTTTCCTGCTACTACTGGGCAGTTGCTGAGATGGACCTGCATCTCCTGCCTTTCTATCCTAAGCTGATATTCCTCTCTTCTTGTCCACCTTGTGGCATTGTGCTTCTCATTGGTAGCCCATCTCTCTATTCACAATCTATCCACCCCCTATTGCCCTTCCCTTACCCAACACTCATCAGCCTCCACCCTGCCACTGAGAGATTACTTAGTGGTTTCCTGTGGGATGAAGCCCTAATGCCCTTCCTGAGCAGCCCCAGCTTCGCCCTTTGCACATGGCCTGCTGCCCCTTTGCAGCAGCTCCAAACTTGCCCAAGTGCCCAGGTGTGCTGCCTTCTGCCAGCCTCCCGGCCTCTGCACATGATGTGTATTTCTGAGAGTCCTTCCTGTTTTTCATTCTTCAAGACTAGGGTCTGATACAGCGGCCTCCCCTTCTCCTAAGGGTTATGTCCCAAGATCCCCAGTGGATGCCTGAAGCCGTGGATAGAACCAAATCAGACACACACTGTAGTGTTTTTCCCATCTTTACCTGTGATAAAGTTTAGTTTCTAAATTAAATCACACTAAAAGATGAATAGCCATAACTCATGATATAATAGAACAGTGACAACAATGCACTGTGATAAAATTTCCAGCATTCCTTCTCTGGCACTTTGGAGCCATTATTAAGTGGCACAGGAGTGCCACAATAATTAATCTGACAAGCTGGTCAGCTACTTGACTAACAGGCAGCTAGTGGATATGAGATTTCATTGTGTTGTTCAGAACAACTCCCGACTTAAAACTTGTGTGTTGTTGCTTTCTGGAATTTTCCCTGTAATAATTTCAGATGTGATTGATTGGGTAACCTAAATTGTAGATGCTAGAATGGTGGAGAAGGAAAGACTTCTGAAAACCCTCTGGGAAGCCCATCGTGACTCTTTGTTGTGTTTTCAAATTTTGTTTTGCTACTTTGAGATAGGGTCTCACTATGAGGCCCACACTAGCCTCAAACTCACAATCCTCCTGCCTCAGCCTCCTGCCTGCTGGGATCACAGGTGTGTGCCACCATACCTGGCTTCTCCTGACTATATGAGCAGAAAGCATCCTTCTTTCCTCCACTTTTTTGTAAGTTTTTAAAAATTGTTATAGCAGTGATGTAGGAAGAGGTTGCAGTTACGTAAGTTAGGTAAAGAGCACATTTCTTGTTGGACAATGTCATCCCTTCCCTTGCTCTTTCTCCACTTTCTAGTCCAATAAACATGCTGCTGAGAACCTTCTTATGAGAACCTTCTCAATGACCCTGGCTTCCCTCCATTCATCCCACTATAAAGCCCCTAACACTGTCTGTGACCTGAGAACCCTGACAAGTGAATGAAACCCTTCAGACACCATTTTACCCTGCCACTGCCAGAGTCCAGCCTGCCTTTGGGGCTTTGTTCTGTCTGTAGTCCTGTCCTATCTTCTTTCTGTAAGTGTTTGCTGTGGGAAGAAGCCTTGGAAAGGCATAGTCTTTGGTGGCGATACATCATAATCCATGACATGGCTTTCTGCATGTCCATGCAATGGCTGGCCATCTTTTGCGTGTACAGTTGTGATTCTCTATCTGGAGGCCTGTGGAGTATAAGGTAGTGTCACTTGAGCTGGTCACCACTCCTGATCACCTGTCCTGCTCTCTGCTGGACTCAGCTGGTTTCTTCCTGCAGAATCATCATCTAACCCTCCCCAGCCCCAAGGAAATTGCACTGTCATTCCTTCTAGGAGTGGACATATAACCTGCTCCAGCCTGTTCTTGCCCCTCTCTTATCTCCTTGGGAGGTCACTGCAGTTATCCTTTAGTCTTTAGATTTTTCCAGGAAGAGTGTTTAGCCATCAACCCTTCTCTAAGTCTCTCAAAGTATAAGGGGTGCATGTCAAGTTCTTGAAGCCCTGTGTGCTAGACTTTTTCGTTGTTGTTGCTGAGACAGACAACTTACAAGGAGGAGAGATTTATTTTGGCTCATAGTCTCAGGGGTTTGGGTCCATGGTTGTTTGGCTCTGCTGTTTGGGGGCCTGTGGTGAGGCAGCATCTTAGCAACAAGAGCATGTGAAGGAGCAGAGTCACTCACTTCAGGTGAAATAATCAGACTGGGTCTATGCTTACCCTAGATAGCCCTTGATTCTCCCCCAGTTGTTTCCCTGCATGGCTTGCTTTTCTATTAGGTTTAAGTGTCCTCATCTGGTTTGCTTTGCTTATGTATAACACTTTTGTTAAATTTAATTCCTCACACCTTGTGTGATTTTGGCCTATATAAGCTTTGCACTAGCTGCATTCAGGCTGCTGGTCTTTAAGACAAGAGTCCACCAGCAGTCCTCCAACTCTCTAATAAAGACTCATAATTTGGCCTTTTAAATGTGGCTTCTCTGTTTCTCAAGGAAGCAGGGGAATGGAGAGAGAGCATGCTTGTGCCCACTGGCTCCCTTATCCTGGGCACCCAGCCTATTAAATGGTGTCACCCACATTCAAGGTGGGTTTCCCTATCCTCTCTGGAAATGTCTCATCGACACACCCAGAAATGTGCTTTACTAATCTCCTAGGCATTTACCAATCTCATGGAGCTGATCATCATGCTCTTTCCCTTGGTTTAGAGACAAGAAAATATCCCATGACCACTGTCATGGAAGCCGTGGTCACTCTGGAAGAATCCGGCCATCCCCCTGGCACACCTTCCGCTTCCTTAGTTTACTCTTGAGGTAATGGATGAGCTAACAGTTGAGAATGAATGTCTGAAGCTTCCAACTTGACTGTTCCTGAAGACCACCACCTGCCATGTGTTCGGCTTGGAGTACCCACCCAGTCCCAGCTAGAAAGAGCCACATTTCAATAATCTGTTACTTCAGGATCCATTCCTCTCCACTTTCTTCTGAATGTGTCTACTAACACATATTCTAACTGGCCCTTGTGTTTGTGTTTTCAGGGTGCAAGAGGGCCAAATGGCTCAGTTGGTGAAAAGGTAAAAGAAAATAGCTCTCCCTCCTCTCCTTTCTTTGGGCTGGAGTAAATGAATACATACATGTTATAGTGCAGGGAGAAATTCACATCTGAGGAAGTGCCCAGGGGAGGCAGGACAGCTGGGGATGGCCAGGAGCAGTTACCCTACAGTATACCCCCTCCTTAATCACGAATTCAAATGAGAGCATTGGCTTAGTTCAAGTGCAGTGTCTGTCCACAAGACAGATGTTTCTAGGCATTAAACAAAGCCAATCAGTAACTTCAATCAGGGATATTCTGACTCAGGCATGCAGATCTTTTCCTTCCAAGAGCCATCAGGAGTTGTACTCATCCCATCTTCTTCTCAGGGTGACCCTGGAAGCCGAGGTTTACCAGGACCTCCAGGGAAAAATGGACAAGCTGGCACTCCTGGAGTCATGGGACCTCCAGGACCTCCTGGACCCCCTGGTCCCCCCGGCCCTGGATGTACAACAGGACTTGAGGTATTCCTCCCCAACCCCTCTCTCTGTGGTAAGGGCCACTGGAAAGACTAGCTTTGAATGCTGGGCTGTGAAGGTAGAGATTGTGTGAGTTCTCTTGGTGTACCCAGTTCCTAAGGCCACATCTGGTCCAGGTAGGTGCTCAGCAATCAGACCTGAAATTGTTATTCTTTCTCCTTTTCTAGGATATTGAAGGCTCAGGAAGTATCAGGCTACTGAATGAACCCAGACTCTTTGGGCCAACAGCCTCAAGTGTAGGTTGACTTTTTCAATTATTTTGTGTGTGCTGCTATGGGAGCTTGAACTCAGGGCCTGGGTACTTTCTCATAGCTTTTTTTTTTTTCACTCAAGTCCTGTACTCTTACCAGTTGAGCCACAGTTTCACCACCAGCTTTTTGGTGGTTTACGTAGCAATAAGAGTCTTATTGGGTTTTCTTGCTGGGGCTGGCTTTGAACCAAGATCCTTAGATCTCAGCCTCCTGAGTAGCTCGGGTTACAAATGTGACCCACCAGTGCCTAGCTTAGGTTGACTTGTGAAACTTATTTGTACTATCCTATGAGGAAGCTGTAGGGGCCATCCTGTCTGTTTCTCTTTCCATAATTCATACTTCTAATGCCTTCAAGCCAAGCTGTTCAGTGGAGAGACTTTACAAACTCTTTCCTGGGGATCAATGTAGAGTTTTTGCATGAACATTATGTGGGAAAACTTGAAAATCAATCTCCCCCTCTTCCTCTCCCTCTCCCTCCTTCCTTCCCTCTCCCCCCCTCTCTCCCAGAGCTCTTCTTCAGTTCCACCAAGCTACTTTACTAGCAACCCTCTTGCTTCTCACAGGTGCCCCAATCTGTACCCTGTAGCATCCATTCCCTAGAGATGCTGTCCATGTCCACTGTGGGCACAATCGTATGGGAAGCACACTTGGAGCTCTCATGTTCTTAGTCACCTGGGACCCAGAGCTGAGCACTCTGGAGGAAGCAGTGCAGCCCCTGCCTTGACTGAACACAGAGCTCCCCTAGCTAGATGCGAAAGCTTTGAGACTGAAGTCAGTGGACATTCACTTGTGCCGTGAAGGGGCCTGAGTTTCTCTGACTCTTTCTGGAGAGTTTTTCCCTCTTGACTCTAGAAAGGGAATTTGTACCTCCTTTTTTGTTCCCATTTCCTGGAGCAAATGCAGTAAGACAGCTGAGGGAGAGATGGCAAGATGCAAGGATGTGTAGAGAGGAAGTGGAATGAATAGGAGAAAAATGAAAGAATGACTGTTTGCTTTTCTTGTTTGGCTAGGGTCTCAAAGGAGAGAAAGGAGATCAGGGACCCAAGGTAAGGACTCGGGGTTGACATAGCAATTGGTGGGAGAACTTTCTGGCCTGGACAAACTTTCCATGGACATTGAGTTTTGTTTTCTCACTGATATAACTAGGGTGAAAGGGGGATGGATGGAACCAGCACAGTTGGACCTCCTGGGCCCCGGGGCCCGCCTGGGAGCATCGAGGTACTGCACAGTGTAAGTACCATCCAGGTTGGTGTTTGGCTGTGTGGTTTGTCTTTGCTGAGGGGGAGAAGAGGTGATCCTCTTCAGAGACTTAGAGGCTGTCTCCACCTGCCCAGCATGCCTTACCTGTTTGCCTGGATCCTAGCAGCACTGTTATCCCACACATCTCCTCCAGAACCCTCTCCCCTGCTTGGCAGCATTTGGAGGTCAATTAAAAAAAGCAGCCTAGAACCCTATGAGCTGATGAGGGTCTTCAGGGAACCCCTAGATAAGTAACCTCCATGTGCTTCAACCAGGTCCTATACAAGTTGAGAAATACAAAGAGGAAGAGGTTGGCCCAAAGGCCATCTTTTATGGCTGTGGGGGGCAGCCTGGCCATGGGTAGCAGACATGGCGGGGATGGGGGGCAGGGGGAGAACTGGCATGTTGGAAATCTAGGGAGATGCTAGACTGAGGGATGGGATCTGATTGTGGCCTGCTGCATATTAAATCATCACATTTGAAAAAGTCATAGCACGGGCTGGGAAGGTGGCTCAGTGGTAGAGTGCTTGCCTTGCATGCATGAGGCCCTGGGTTCGATTCCCTAGCACCACATAAGCAAAAAGAAAAAAAGCCGGAAGTGGCGCTGTGGCTCAAGTGGTAGAGCGCTAGCCTTGAACTGAAGAGCTGAGGGACAGCGTCCAGGCCCAGAGTTCAGGCTTCACGACCAGACCCCCCAAAAAAAAGAAAAAAGAAAAAGTCATAGCATTGTGCCAGTACAAAAGAAAAAGACAAAAACTATCAACTAACTAGGAAAAGGATGAGTTAAAAGAAGATTCTGGTTTTAAAATACCAATATGACCAGGCACTGGTGGCTCCCACCTGTAATCCTAGCTGCTCTCAGGAGGCTGAGATCCAAGGATTGTAGTTTAAAGGCAGGAAAATCCATGAGACTTTTTCGTCTCCAATCAACTAGCAAAAATCCAGAAGTGGAACTGTGGTTCAAGTAATAGTGTGCTAAGCCTTAAGGAAAAAAACTAAGGGACGCACCCAAACCCTGAGTTCAAGCCCCAGTTCCAGTTCTGGTACACACACACACACACACACACACACACACACACACACACACACACATGCGCGCGAGCATGAACACAATACCAATATAATAAGATGTGGGAGAATAGGTAATCTCTAATGCTTCAGGGTGAAGCATGTGGTCCTTTTAGATCTCTCTTTGGCAGTTCATTAAAACTGAAAATAGACCCTCCAAAATCCACGTGAAAAGATCTCCACATGATGTGCTTGAGTGAAAAGCAAGGCAAAGAATAGTATATATGGCCTGATGCTATTTATGTAAAATAACCACATGAACACACTCACTATATGCTCTCAGTGGATACACACACACACACGCACACACACACACACTTTTACAATTTTTTTTGGGGGGGGGTCCAATCATGGGGCCTGAACTCTGGGTCTGGGCACTGTCCCTCAGCTCTTCAACTCAAGGCTAGCGCTCTACCACTTGAGCCACAGCACCACTTCTGGCTTTTTTTCTTTTTGCTTATGTGGTGCTGAGGAATTGAACCCAGGGCCTCATGCATGCAAGGCAAGCGCTCTACCACTGAGCCACCTTTCCAGCCCCATACGTTTACAATTTTAAGAGACAGAAGCCATTCTCTCTCTTAATTTGAAAGTCAATTAAAAGAGGAAAGTGACAAGACAGAGCTTGGTTTGTCTAATGGGAAGTGGGTAGAATGGGTACATTTGGCAGTTGGCTTTGGGATATGGTCAATGTGTGCCAAGTTGGGGGACTTCAATAAAATCTTCTTTGCCAGACACAAGGCAAGAATGTGCCATTCTTTGTCCTCATTGTCTGGCTTTTCTCTTTTTAGTCTCTGATCAATATCACCAATGGATCCATGAACTTCTCGGACATTCCTGAGCTCATGGGGCCTCCGGTTTGTATCTGCAGCTGCCCTAGTGTCTCCCCCCAGATGTCGCTAATGGAGCAATGCTGAGTTGGTCTGGGATCCTTTCAGCTCCTTAACCGCAGAACTAGAGTACATCAAACCAGAATTGAAAGATAACTTGGCATTGTTGAGTTGCTATCATAATGAGTTGATTGTGCAGAGAGTGGTAATCAATGCAGCCTAAACTTTCAGTCCTGTGCATCAGAAATGTGTATAACAGTTGGGCACTGGTGGCTCACACCTGTAATCCCAGCTGCTCAGGAGGCTGAGATCTGAGAACTGCAGTTCAAAGCCAGCACAGGCAGAAAAGTCCACGAGACTCTTATTACCAATTAACCACCAAAAAAGAGTCAGAAATGGAGCTGTGGCTCAAGTGAAAAAGCACAGCAAGAATGCCAGGTCCTGTGTTCAAGCCCTAGTATCTGCACAAAAAAAGAAAGAAAGGAAGGAAGGAAGGAAGGAAGGAAGGAAGAAAGAAAGGAAGGAAGGAAGGAAGGAAGGAAGGAAGGAAGGAAGGAAGGAAGGAAGAAAGAAAGGAAGGAAGGAAAGAAGGAAGGAGGAAGGGAGGTAGGGAGGGAAGGAGGAAGGAAGGAAGGAAAGAAGGAAGGAAGGAAAGAAAGAGAGGAGGGAAGGAAAAGAAAAAAAAGTGTGTCAGTGCACTCCTAGAATTCTAAGAACAAACAAATTGATGACTTGCAACACTTTGGGACTGCTTTTATCTGCATTATCTCATTTCACAGAACAGGAAGAGCCTAAAGGGACCTGTCATTGTGTTAATGGGGACACTGTCCCATGACTTGCGTCAGTCTCCCTAGCCCACTTTAGAGATGAAATGAACACACCAGGAAGTCACATTACTTGTGTAGGTCCACACAGCTGGCCCGTGGTGCTCCAGGACCTTAGAGGGAGGGAACATGTATACTTAAACCCCTATTTCATGTTCTGGGAGCTGGGGAGAGAAAACCACTCTAGCCTCAGGAGCCTTGAGGCCCCAACCCCATCTCTACCACACCCCATGCTTGAGCCCCAGGCTCTCTCCTCTGATTGCACCTCGGACTAGCTGGAGGCCTCCACAACTGTGCAATACACAAGGCCCCCAGGGCAGATCCTTAAGAGACTGGCCCAACCTCCCAGCCACCCACATCTTATGGAAAATCCACAGGACCTGCCCAAGATTCTCACTCACATCTTGGAGGCTTCTCTGCACCTGGGTTTCTCTCAGTGCAGATCTGTGTCTATAGGTTGTCTTACTGTCTTCTGTGCTGCATCCCTTTCCCTGATTTCTTCTGAACAATCCAAAAAATCCCAGCAATTAAAACCCAAGACAAACTAGCTAACAACTAAAAGCCAATTCATAAGTGTTAGGTTTTTAAAAAGAGGTAGCCGAGTAAGAACAGCACCAGCACTCATGTGGTAGTTAAGGGGTAGGTTTATTCAGTAGACCTGCTGGGACCAGGCAAGGTTGGCACTCCACGTGGCTGGGAAAGGCCTGGGAATGAGAGAGAGCGCTGGGAAAGAGAGGAAAGAGCTAGAGCAGAGAGAAAGCAGAGAGAGCTAGAAAAGAACAGCATGAGAAAATCTGGGCCTGGGCTAGCCCTTATCTAGGGTATGGGTGGAGAAAGGTGTGGCCACATCAAATTCAGATGTGACCTCTTCCAGGTGTCCCAGTTGCCTAGGTAACGCAGGTACTGGGTGGAGACTTTGCTGCGAGGAGGGTGGAGTCTGCTAGCCATCCAGGAGTGGACCTTACAATAAGGGCCTTTATGTTTCCCCAGACCACTGGAGATTTAGGGTGTTAGGGAGGCTGATGCTAAAGCAGGACACAGGCAGTTTAAAGCTAAAGAGTAAGCATCTCTGTGTGACTAGTTTCAGGCCCTGTCTTCCTGAATCACTGTGAGTTAGTATTCTCCCAGCCTCTGGTCCTAGCTCCACCCAGACCTGAGCTCCCCCTACCCTAGAATTCCCACAGGATAGCTGGCCCCTCCCACTCTCCGCCCAGACCTACCTGCGAAAGCAGAGTACCTGACCCAGTAGCCCCAGAGCGACCTCCTGGATAGGGGCAGATGTCATGTTGCTCCCTCTCCTGGGGGAGATATGGCCCCTCTAATAAATATTATAAACCTTCTCCTGTGCATACCTCCTCCGAGTGATTTCCTGGGATGGCCGGGATTGATACTAACACTGTGTCTTACCTTCCTCTCTGCCCTGCTTCCTTCCTGCTGTTGTCCTGTTCTCAAGTGACTTCAGGGCCTCTTCATCCCTGAGTCTGGATAAGCCTTTACCCACTCAGTGGTGGATTCTCCGAGGAGTGAGGGACTATTCCAGCACTGTCATGCTATGCTCGTCCACTCTCCTATATATCCTGTGACAAGAAACTAGTCTCGTTCTAGTTCTTTCTCCTACCACATAAATGTATATACACACACATATATGTACATAATGAAAAAATGTATTCTGTTGAACTCATATACCTTTAATTAGTAAGTTATTTACTACCCCTCCTGGGTAGTAAAGTACAAACTCCCCATGTACCAGGTCCTTTAAAATGCTGTTCCTAGCTAAGTGAGGTGGCCTATACCTGTAATCTCACCATTTGGAAGGCTGAGTTGAAGAATTTCAAGGTCAAGGGCAGCTTGAGCCTCTTAGCAAGATCTAAAACAACAACAACAAAATGAAAAAAAAAAAAAGCAGGCTGATCCTTTAAGATTCTCACTTCTTCCAAAGCAAATAGCTAAGTCTCACCAGCAAGTATCCTTGTCTATCTCTGGCCACCAGTTTAGCCCTGACCCCACTCTCAGAACTTATTTATCCTGATCATTGTCCCTAGAGATTTCAAGCACTAAATGGTTTAATGGAGGAGGAAGCTTCACTAAAGTGTAGAGTTCAGGCTAAGGGAACAGAGCTGGACTCCGGGTGTCTGAGTACAATTTCTGCCTCTGGCATTAACTGGCTATCTGATTCTGTGAAGGCCCTGCCCTTCTGGGCCTCAGCATCCGGCCCTGCAGAGTGAAACATGAGCCCTGTGGCATGGAATTAGACTCAGGCTTTTGACAGATGCCGGAGGGAAGTTGTTCCCTGAGGCTGCAGGATCTCACTGACGTGGTCTTTGCTGTGTTGCAGGGACCTGATGGTTTGCCTGGGCTGCCAGGATTTCCTGTAAGTAGCACCAAGCTCCTACCCCCACTTACCCTCCCCCTCTGAATGATCTAGGAACAGCTCCTTCAGGGTCTGGTCTTATTCTTGTCACTGGACCCCGGAGCTAAACTTGCTAGGAATGAAAGTGAATGAGTCAAGCATTCAAGTAGATAAAGTCTACACAGATCAAGTCCCTTGAGGGAAAAGGTGGTGGTGTTGAAACAGGGGTAGAGTGGGGAGAGGAGGGAACCTTAGAAGCGTATAAGGAATGATCTGTGTGGCTACCTTGGGCTTTTTCACTCTGGATGGTGAAAATGTGTGTCTGCCTAGAACACCACCGGTTATGCCTAGCACTTTGTGCTTTTGCTGGAGCCCAAGGCCTGCAGCCAAGATGGGACCTGTACTCTGCTTGTAACACTTCAAGACCCTGAGGCTCTGAAAGGCTTAATGCCTCCAGTGGATCTGCTATTACATTGATCAAACATGTAATAATGTGTTCTTGATGGCTAGACTGCAGGTGATCGCTTCCTATTTTGTTATACTTTTCTGGGCATCATATATAGTGACATCACAAACTAGGATGACGCTAAAGGTACATGTCAACATTAAAAAAATAGAAATCAGTATAGGACATGTGATGACCTGCTGGGTAAATGAAGAGGCCTAACCTCTGAGGAGCAGCTCCACTTTGGCTGCTCCAAGATCCACATCACATTCTAGAACATACCTTCCTCCACATGTGTGTGTGTGTGTGTGTGTGTGTGTAGGTGTGTGTGTGTGTATGTGTGTGTATTAGTAGTGCTGGACTAGATAGTGCTATGTCACTTGAGCTATGCCCCCAGCCCTTTTGTTGGTATTTGTTTTTGAGATAGTTTACTTTGCTTGAGCTAGGCTGGAACTCATAATCCTCCTGCTTTTATCTTCCCAAGTAGTCAGGATTACAGGTGTGTGCCACCAGGCTTAGCCTGGTTCTATGTTTTGAAAGAGCTTAGAATAGCCTTGCACCACTGCAGAGAGTAAGGAAAGGGTGAAGAGGCAGAATCGAAGGCACCCTTCCCACTAAGGGGCAATCCGTTTGACAAAACAGGGAAAGACTGTGCAAGGCCTGGAGTTTGATCCCCCACACGATTAAAAAAAGAAGAAGAAGAAGAAAAGAACTGTATTGCTACACCACTACTGTGGTAGATAACTCATTTTTCACCTAGAGGACAAGGCAGGGCTTGTGAACAGTGACTGTACAGTGAGAGCTGAAATGCCACTCCTCTTGAGTCATAGGCTCAGACTTCCAGTGTCTGGTAGAGTTGAGAAGGGGTGGCCTCTGGCTGAGTGTGTGGATTCTGGCTCTGCAGAGGTGAGGGCCACCCTGTTGGCATGGCATGAGCTCTGATACAGAGATGAGGGGAGTCTAGGGAAGACCCCCCGCCACTAGCATGGTGAAGTGTGAAGCCTGGCTTGGTGTGGGATCCCTTCTCACAGGGAATAGGGAGCCAGAGAAGGGTGGAGTCACAGAAGGTGAATGTGAGGGAAGGCAAGCTGAAGGATGGCTTAAGTAAGCCAAGCCTTAAGATCTGCCAACAGGCCGTTCCAGCAGCTGGAGGAAACCAAGATTTAAAGAGGCCTGGGCATCAGGGCTGCATTCTTACCACCAAGATTCTCATTCCTGGACCCCTTAAATTTAAGCAGATATTATGACCAGGTGCCAGTAGCTCACCACACCTGTAATCCTAACTACCCAGGAGGCTGAGATCTGTGGATCATGGTTGAAAGCCAACATAGGCAGAAAAGTCCATGTGACTCTTACATCCAGTTGACCACCAAAAAGCCGCAAGTGGAGCTGTGGCTCAAGTGGTAGTGTATTAGCTTGAAGTGAAAAAAGCTAAGGGATAGCATGCACACGCACGCGTGCACGCACATGCACACACACACACACACACACACACACACACGCACATGCACACACACACACACACACACACACACACACACACCTCCCATGGTCTATTTTTCTTTTCTTTCTTTTTTTTAAAATGTTTCTTCTTTTGATCGGTTAAAACATTTGAATGCTAACAACACAATACCCACCGACAATTCTTTCCAGGGCCCTAGAGGACCAAAAGGTGATACTGGCGTGCCTGGATTTCCAGGACTGAAAGGAGAACAGGTGAGAGGGTCTTGGGAATCTGCGTGAGCTCATGTGTCTGGCTTTCTAGTCACTTCCAGTGGGCACGTCTGCTACACTTCTGCTTCTTTCAGATACCGTTTTTAAAACCATAAAGGTAGTGTCTTTCAATTATACAGCTCAGTGATACTTAATAGTTACACCAGCATGCAACCATCACCATCAGCAAATTCTAGAATGGCTCTATCCTGTCTAAGATAAACTCTCATGCCCAGTCACTGTCACTCTGCCACTGTAAATTTCTGTGATCTCTGGGCTCCTTCCTGGCGAAGATAAAGAGGATTTCACCCTAACCAGGAAAGGAAATTTAACTCAATACTCCCTTGAACTCTGTTCTTTCATGTTCTACATGTTGTCTAACTATCTATTGGCTATCCTCCTTTAAATGTGAGTTCCCTGGGAACAGACTTCTCTATAGCTCTGATTCTAGCACAAGGACACAGATGGTACCCCAATACATGCTGTATAGAAGAGTGTAGAACTAATGAATAAAACAAATGGCCAGTGTTAGCAAGTATAGTTTGGGGAGCATTCTAAGCACGTCTTGGTCCCAAATGTTTGAAATCAATACTTAGCCTGCAGAGATCTTCCTGAGAATTTCCATAGCAGAGAGCTGGTCTCTGTATCTTTCACACTGGCCTCTTAGGATTAACTTCCCAGTTGGTGTTTATAGATGAGGGGGTGAGTGATAGTCATAAACAGGCCACAAAGACCCTGGAAGGGGTCCATTTATTCACCCATCCACTTTTGTCTGCATCCTTCTTTCAGGCACAGATCCCCAGGGACACCTGTGGTTTCCTGTACAGATTAGGGACCTGGGAATAAGACAGGACAATGGGGGAGGGGGGGAAGATGGCAGACAGCATGTGCCCAGCTGTGCTTGAAAACTGCTCTGAGGGAGTCTAATGGTTGGGGGTGGGGGGGGGGGCGGAGGAGCGAGGGAACGTGTGCCTTTGAGAAGAGTGAGCTTTAGCTTATTCTCTTTCCTCTCCACCATGACATCCTGCTTCTAAGAGGGAAGAAAGGCTTCAGTGTCTGATGGCCCAAGTTTCAGGGAGTAAAAGTCTCAATGCTTTGGGCACATGATTAGACACTTGGGGAAGGCAACTTGGGTACTTTCACTGCCATGACCTGCAGAGAATGGATGGGGTTGAGTCAACTCTGCCTTAGGAAAGACCTGGTCAAACAAAATGCTCTGATATCTATGTGGCTAGGTCAGTTGGATCTAAAGGGACTAAAGTGTCCCCTCTGCCTCTTGCTACTTTGAAAGACTTAGACCAGATCCCATGTATCTCCACTCCAGTCATTGTAGCAAATATGCTTCCTCTGCCTCTAATGCTTTTGTGCTTGCTTCTTCTTGCTGCTGGCGTGTTCAGGACTGCGTTTCTTCATCAATTGGTAAGATGTAAATATCAGCTGTGGGCTTCAAGGGTTGGAGAGAGAAGGCTGCTCTGCTCATTCCTGCCTTGCCAAGCTGCTTCTAATACTATTGAAAGGTGGCTTCTCTGTGGTTCAGTGCTAGCCCCCAGGGTTCAGTCTAGCTCCTAGGGGCTAATACTGATGTCTTTGAGGGATATTGAGGGTTTCTTCATTTGATCTCATCCTTTGGACGTATGTCTAATTTGGAGCCTCCTGAGATCATAATGGCCCAATTGATGACAACATTGGGGTCAGAATCCTGATATCTTGCTCCCAATCCCCCATCCCCTCTTTCCCAACATCCAGGATAACTTTGTCTGACAAAATAAAATGTTTGCACGGGGACATGGAGTTTGGAGGCAAAGTTGCATACACAGAGACATAAGACTCCTCTGTTGCTGGAACCTTCCAGCATTTATAATTTCATCTCTTCCTCAATTTTCAGGTGTATTAACAAGAAGTATTCTTGAGGGAGAGCAGATGGTAGATCAAGGTGACAGGAAAGCAAGGTGTCAAATACCTTAGGAGCCAACCAGAGGTCCCTGGAGGGGTGTCATGTGCCAAGAGGCAGACAGAACCAGGCAGGGGCTCCATCCTCAGGGCTAGGAGTGGGGGGGACAGATCTGTCCTTGGAAGGAATCCTGGTGGGTGTGAAAGACCACACCTGAGCACTAGGGCAGTAACTCTGACAGTAGTACCTGGAGGGGAGATTTCATTATGCAGCAGCTATTGCAGAACTCTAGCAGAAGGTCGTGCTGGAGCAGTGGGGCTAGAGGAACGCCATGTAGGCAGGATGACAATGAGCAAGCGTGGCAGCAGGATGGCAAGGTCATATTGGTGAGATAAGAGGAGGAAACCTGATTTCATCAAAAGGTTTTCTGCATTGCAGGGCGAGAAGGGGGAGCCTGGTGCTATCTTGACCGGGGACATTCCTTTGGAAAGAGTGAAGGGGCAAAAGGTAATTATGTCACTGAAGCCAGACTTCTACTTGGCTTTCCAGATTTGTTTCTTCTGATTTATTTATAAGAACATACCTTCCTGTTTTAGGGTGAACCTGGAATGCATGGAGCCCCGGGACAAATGGTAAGTCAGAGCATCATGTTACTGGGTCTGAATTGGAGTTTGGAACTTTTATCATATTTGGGGCTTTGTTAGATTTATTGTTCTAATTAATTGTGAAAACACAAAGGGTGTATGTGTGTGTGTGTGTGTGTGTGTGTGTGTGTTAAGGAAGGGTAGACAAACTGCATTTACATTAAAGTCTCAAGGGTTAGCAGGCATGGTGGTACACATATGTCATTCTAGCACTCAGGCATGTAGGGCAGGAGGACTGAAAGTTTGAGGCCAATCAGGACTATAGAGACCCTGTCTCCAAATAAAAAAGGAAGAAAAATATCTAGTAGTTGTACCCCACAGCAGCTGCATTCTCACTTTTTTCCATTCCTCTGTGGCTATTTGATTTTGGGCCTCTCCCCTCCAAGCAGTGACTCAGGGACCCACAGGCATCCATACCGTGACTGGCTATCTTGTGAGTTGAAGGTCACTGGTATCTTCCTGCTGGGGGCTGAAGTTGGGAGGGCGGGATAATGAACACTTCTAGCACATTTCCCTGGCCAGCACGCAGGTTCCTGGGGCCTCAGACATGCAGTGAATCTATGTGTCTGGTAGAGAGGGGTTTGGATGGGGTTGAGCCCCAGAGGCAATAGCATCCTACTTTTATGCTGAAGGCTGCCAACTGCAGCGATGCCCTCCAAGGAAACTCTGCAAAACCCTCTCCTGGCTTGTGGCTTCGGGTTCTTGATCAGCTGCTCACCTGCAATGAGGCTTTGAGACTGCCTTCCTCTGTGGGGATGTCTGTGCACTCATCTACACCTTGAAGGAATGGGTCCAGAACTAGACAGTACCATAGGCTCTTCTGGCCTTGCTGTTCTAGAATTCTAGAACACATGTGGATTTCTGGAACATTTTCCTAAGTATTCTTTCTCTCATGATGAACCCTAAACTTCTCTGTCATATATTCTTTTTCCCAAGTGACAGAAGTTCAGGTAGAACATCACTATGAGGCAGATACTGTGTGAGACTTCACAAGCATCCTTTCATCCTCCTGACTCTCAGATGTGAACGTCAGAGCACTTGTTTATAGACTAGGCGATTGAGGCCCAAAATATGAAATAATCTGTCTACTGCCACATCAAATTGCAAGGATGGGGAGACAGAGGCCAGCCTGTCCAGATTCTTCCCCTTCTCATAGCTGAGTGCCTTCCAAGAAACAAAATGCCCTTGGTTCCTGAAACGTTGTAGAATACAGAATGGTCTAAGTGGTCTGTTTGGTTGAAACTGGATGCTCTCCTTCAACCCCCAGGGCTGAGGAAGGAGAATCAACTGGTTGTGAACCATAGGTCCTTAGTGAAATAGCCTATAATCTCAAAGGTACGTCCTTCAAAAGACCTGCTGAGGCCTTTGGTCTCTGCAGTCAGGCAGAATGGACACCCTGGAGTGAAGTAGCTAAGAAGTTAAAGGCCTCATTCCTAAATGATTAACCTCTAATATTGTGGGAAATACTAACAGCCATGGGGGCCAGCAGGTGGCTGCAGATGGCCATGGCAGTTATCCCGCAGAAGGCCAGCCTGCACACAGCTTGCCAAACGTAGTAGGGCACCTTTTAATTTGCATAAAGATGCCATCTGGGGCTAGCTGTTGACTTAGTGACCAGCATAGCATGCAACTCCTTTGTAGTTGCTCCAGATCCATGGACCATCATCACCCACATCACTAGAGAGCTTGTTAGAAATGCAGATCCTAGATGTGGTGCTGGGGCTCAGAGTGGCAGAGCACTAGCTGAGCATCATGAACCACGTCGATTGCTGTTCACTATTCACAATAGCCAAGATATGGGAACAACCCAGATGCCCCACAAATGTACTTATATACAATGTAATTTTACACAGCCACTAGGAAGAATAAACTAATGTCATTTTGCAGGGAAATGGATGGAACTAGAACAAATCATGTTAAGTGAAGTAAGCCATGATCAGAGGGACAAATGGCACATGTTCTTTCTGATATGTGGAAGCTAGATCTAAAATGCACTGGAATATGCCAAATTGCACAGGATTCTAGACCAAAAGAGGCTAGTCTTAGGAGAGAGACAAGGGTGCAAAGCCTAAGCGCCTCTTCATCTTTAAAATAGTATAATACTGAAATGAACTCCCAAGATATGGAAACAAAAGAGTTTTTTAATTTTGTTTTTCTTGTTCTGATGATTCTTTACCTTATGTACAGTATATTTACGCGCATTTCTGTGGGAGGGTCTGGGGGAGGCACATAACTCAAGGAAAAAGGGTGAAAAAGTGAAGCAATGGAACACACTGAAAGTAAGCTATATAACTCATGGGTGGATATGGGAGGGAAGCAATGGGAGAGAATGAGAGAAAGATGACACTGTATGAAACGAAATGTACACAGTACTCGATACATGTAAATTTAACCCCACTGTAAAGCACCTTTATAATAACCATAAAGTAAATTCAAAAGAAAGAAAGAAGAAAAGAAGGAAAGAAAGAAATGCATATCCAACCCAGACAATCTGGATGTCTACATGCTCCCTTTGCAGGTGAACATTTGGAACTGTCTAATGTTGAGCTAGAGCTTGCCAACCAAGTAGCGTGTACTCTGTTACTCCTTTTATCTTGGATTTTCCTTCCCTAAGAATAATGTCTGCAAATTTTAAACAATTGTTTATTGTTATTATAAAGGTGATGTACAGAGGGGTTACAGTTACATAAGTCAGGTAATGAGTACATTTCCTTTTGGACAATGTCTCCCCTTCCCTGTTCTCTCCCCGTTTTTCCCTCTCGTACACACCCACAAGTTGTATAGGTCATTTTTCACAGTGTTCAGTGAGTACCACTGCTGCATTTGTTTACCCTTCATCTCTCCATTTCTGCTTTGCCCCCCCATATCCTTCCAAAGACAGATAAACAAACAAGACAAAAAGAATATAAAACAAAAACAGCGACAAAGAAAGACCTTCTTGTTTCCCTTTCCTGGAGTTTGTCTGGGAATTTTATGTACAGATCCTGTTCCAGTGCGGCCCTTCTTTGCCATGGGTAATTCTTTTATAAGAAGAAGGGACTTGGAGGGCCTCAGGCTTACACCTGGCATTTCTTTGGGAGATGGGGCAGATCCAACCATAGAGATAGTGGGTATTCTGGAAAGAGGTACATCATTGTAGCTCATTGGCTTTGTAGGCTAAGTCATCTATATCCAGACACCAAAGACAGGAGCGTGGAACAGGGCAGTGGCTCAAGAAGGTAGAGATGGAGTAATTGAAAACTGACTAGGACCCAGGGGTCTGGGGCCTTGCTAGAGCATGAGGGTGTCAGGACAGGACTGATCCTCCAGACACTTAAGGATAGGAACCCTATCTTGGTTATCATACAGCTGGTTGCATTATTCAGAATGGAGGATGCGGAGAACACTGTGATATATGACATGGGGCAAAGCCAGCCCAGGTACATGGATACCTGGGAGCTGAGCCCCTGAACTGTTGACCACTTGCCCCTTAGTTTGTCATATAAGGAGTTGGATCCAGGGTCTGGAATAGAGGGAGCCTACAGAAAAATAGGGTGCTCTGAGGAGTGCTTCTAGCTGAAAAAGAGTCAGGAGATAAGAAGACAGACGGGTGGCCCACAAAAGCAGGCCAAACATCCTGTTCCCCTGGACCTTGAGTTTGGGTTGTTTTCTAGTCTGGTGTCTGTTTTGCCTCTAGGGTCCCAAAGGACCACCAGGACACAAAGGAGAATTTGGCCTTCCGGGAAGACCCGTGAGTATCAGTGCTCTGCAGACTGGATCTAAGGGGACACCAGGCCAGGTGCACCTGCGGGCAGGGTCTTACTAAAGTGTCTCCTGTGGGTTTCAGGGCCGCCCAGGACTGAATGGCCTCAAAGGTGCTAAAGGAGATAGTGGAGTCATCAGACCTGTGAGTACAACAATCACTGCCCTGTCCTGTGTCACTGGAGGGTGAGCCCAGGGTGGGGAGTCCAGACCAGGGAGGGATGGGCTCAGTGAGTAGGGTTTGCAGACTGCAAGTTCAGGGCTTGTTTTCTTCTGCCACTACCTTCCTGGTATTGAGGCCGGCACCCTGCTGGCCCCCAGGAGCATCCTGAGTACCTACAGAACCATAGCAAGTATCAGCCTCCTACTGCAAACCTCAGAAACAGGGCTGGAGAAGGGGTCTGGGTATGCCCTGGAGATGCAGTTCCAAATCCAGGGTCAAGGGGAGTATCTTATCCTTCCCTACTGCACACAGTCTCAGGGATGGCTGGTCACTAAGGGATCCATCAGTGCCTGTGAGTGAACCTTGAAGGTGGTCAGTCAGCTACTCAGGAAGACCTGACAAGACAGCAAATGCCAGGGACATCTGCAGGGTCTAGGATCTTAGAAAAAGGAATCTGGTGTTAATTGAGCAACTACTGTGGACCAGACATTGTGCTACTTGCTTGTCCAGGACTCAAGTACTTCTGGTGATGACTAGCTGTCCAGGAGATACTCTGTGGGGTCCTTCTTGTTTGACACTGCCCAACCCAGGGCCTATAGGAGTGAAGGTCACCACTGAAGGCCTTCTAGCTCTTGAGCGTTTTTAAACATTATTTAAACCACTGCTGCTTCTGTATGCAATGCACTGTCTTCACTTTGCATATCCAGAAATTCAGAAATACTGTTGTCCTCAAGCATTAGGCCTGGCTCACGTGTATCTAGCCACTGGATGCTCAGTGGATACCTTCATAAAGAGCTTGTGCATCCCAGCCTTGGCTCTCCTGCTGTAAGAGAGGGGGAAAACTGCATGATGCTGGAGCCAGTGGCTCACGCCTGTGATCCTAGCTACACAGGAGGCTGAGATCTGAGGATCGCAATTCAAAGCCAGCCCAGGCAGGAAAGTCTGTGAGACTTTTACTCTAATTAACCAGAAATAGAACTGTGGCTCAAGGCGTACAACACCAGACTTTAGGGGGAAAGAAAAAAAAAGCTAAGGGACAGCACCTAGACCCTAAGTTTAAGCCCCAGGATTGGCACCCCCCCCCAAAAAAAAAAGTTCTGTGAGGTTAAGGCCAGGCTGACTTGGCTTTGAAAATGACTTCTATCTAAGTTTTACATTTCTAAAACTTTTAAGTTTTGCATTTCTGAGGCCAGAGATGTAGACGTGCACTGGGATCAAGATTGGCCTCAGAGAGCTTCAGAGAGCCTTCTTTTCCTTGCTATGTGCCCAGAGCTTGGAGGAAGTTCCCGGTAGCTGTCTCTGTCTTCCTACCCTAGCACCCCCCCCCCAAATCCAGCTATGGTTTTTCTTATCTCCCTTCAGGGCCCACCGGGTCCCCCTGGCCCTCCAGGCCCCCCTGGACCTCCTGGAGCAGTGGTTAACATCAAAGGTGTAAGTTGGGATGGGGAAGGGGGTGGATCTTGGGAGGGGGTCATTGGGCTGACCTGAGCTGGAGCTGGGGGTTCCTGGCAGCTTCACCTCTTACATTCTGCTTCCCACAGGCTGTTTTCCCAGTACCTGCCCGGCCGCACTGCAAAACACCTGTAAGTAACACACAGTCCCAAATCTGTGCCTTAAAAAGCAAGCTTTGAACAGATAGCAACTCAGGAAAAGACCAGACTCTGCCTTGGGCCCTTCTTATCCCTGGATGTCCTCTTGAGCCACTGCCATCACCCACATGCAGTCTCCCTGAGGTGACTACAAGCTCCCAGAGAGCAGACCATGGTGCTGGAAAACGCTGGGTCAGCTCAGGTGTTCCTGCTGGGTTCTTTTAATATGATCAATACAGCAGTGGGTTTTGTGAGTGTGACCATCTTAGACTCCTGCTAGAGGAGCATAAACTCAGACCAAATAGAGACGGAAAGAACACAGATGGAAAAAGAAACAGTATCAACCTGTAGCCACTGCCTACCCCCATGCACCAACCTGAGTCATGGAAGCATGCACACTCATTCATTTATTTAACAAATATTTGTTGAGCACTTAACCCAATGCCAAGTACTCGGCTAGGCCCTGGCAACACAGTAAACTAGAAGGTGTGGTCTCTGCTCTCTGGAGTTTGCAAATGACAATTCAGAAATGCACTTCGAAGTAGGATCCTCATTGGATGAAGTGATGAGGCTGGGCTCAGGGGGTTCAGAAATAATACCATTTGGCTGAACGCTTTACCTTGCCATCTGTCTCTGTCTGACCTTTGAGGCAGAAGCTCTTGTCTGAAAGGCAAAGGATCCACCAGTACAAGAAAGGGCCTGTGGGCTTGTGTGTTTATACCAATGACCCAAAGAGAAGTCTGCAGTGTGGGTAACTGGGAGACCCTCCTGAGAAGTCTTTGCAGGGCCTCCTTAGGTGGAAGGAGAGAATACAGCCTGCTACAGGCAGTGGGCTGGCCCTGGGACCCACTGTCTGAGTGCCAGAAGCCCATTCCAAACTTACATGATTCCAGGCTTCAGATGGATCAAGCTTGAGACAGCCCCTAGCACTGTAGAGTTTCATGAAAATGTGACTGCCATCTACAATTGCATGACCTATGCTTGGCCCTTTGCAGTTAGCCATAGCCTTTAGGGGTCATGGAATCACTTAGAGGATGCCAAAGATAGGCTCAGAGGACTTTTGGTGAGTGTTTTAATTTCATGTTGCCTGGCTGGATGCCATGGAAACTGGGACCAGCTCTCCAAGTGGGCATTTCAAACACATCCAGCATTTCACAAGCACCTTCTAATTTCAGCCCATCTGACACTACCACAGCTTACCTCTGCAGTGCAGGAACTTAGAATCACTGCAACCTGTTTACTCAACTTAGAAATAAATGTGGGTTGTTTTTCTCTCCCTACCCACCCCCCTTGGAAAATTCCCTTGAGCCTACCTGCCATCTTCTCTTGGGGACCCCCATGCAGCTGCAGCCCCCCCCTCATTTATAGAGAGTGCTGACTAAGTTCACTTTGTGTCACCTGGGGAAAAAAGGTGATGGTAGACTATTAAATGTCAGGTAGCAGATGGCACTTGTGTCATCAGGTAAGGGAAAGACCTGGTAAGGAATATTATAAAAAAAATAGCAGGGACTCAAGAGACCCACTGAAATTAATGAGGAGTGCAGAATAGCCCCTCCCATCTGATGACTGCCGGTCATCAGTACTATTAGCACCTATCCTTTTATTATACACAATAGCAATGCTGACAGCTAGCCCAGCTTCAGGACTGGTAGGCCTTACCTATGTGTCAATCAATCCCAACTGATAAGTAAGGAGCTCCAAAATGCTTAGCACTAAAACCAGCACTGCCACATTTTATGGGCTAAAAGCCCCAGACTTCCCCTTTCCTTGGGTCAGTAGGTCTGTATTCTGTCTACCCCAGGGATAGCTATTGGAAGGGCATCCCTACTGGAGGCCTGGGAAGTCTGTTCGTTGAGGGCTAAGAGAATGCGGCCACCTCTGTGCTCAAATGTCAGGGCAGGACTGACCTGGCCTTTGTCTTTCCAGGTGGATGCCACTCATCCTGGGGACCCAGAGCTCGTCACCTTCCATGGTACATGCTCCTTTCTTTGCTGAGTCATTCTGTGAAACCTTCCTGACTTCACGTCTGTGAAGAAGATGGTGTTTATGTGTCTAGTGCTGGGCCCGTGGGGAGGGGGAAGGAAGGACTGGGGGTTCTGCTAGGAGCAGTGCAACTGAGCCCAGGCTGTGTCTTGGCCATGAGCTGGTCACACTTCTGTCAGTTCTGAACATCTTGGCCGTACCCATCTCACGACATCAGCAAACACTTTGTGTGTTCACTCTGTTGTTAACCTGTTTACAAGACCTTCACTGATGCCAGACACATGATGCCAGGCTATTCCTGCCCCCTTGGCTCTTAAACTCTGTTACATGAAAGTAACTATGGAAATCAAGCAGAGCACAGTATACTAATAGGGAAGACAAGGAAGAGCTGTAAGAACACATGAGCCCCAGGCCTGAGTGTTGTGTTAGCCAGCAGCACCAGCACTTCTGGGAGCTTGTTAGAAATGCACAACCCCCGGGCAGGGAATGAAGCTCCGAGGTCCAGTGCTTCCCTAGCATGGGTGAGGCCTTGGGCTCCATCCCCAGACCTGAAGGGAGAATGGGGCAGGATAGACTGGATGTAATGGTGTACCTATAATCTTAGAACTCAGGAGGCTGAAGCAGGAGGTAACCAGGGTTAGTTACATAGCAAGATCCTGAAATAAATAAATATGAGTAAGTTCCCCTAGCTATCTATGGTCCCAGGAGGGTCTATGCATGCCATAGAAGTCGTCCATAGCCCAGCTGGCCAGGCCTTGAGTCTCAGACAGATCCTCCAGCAGGAATGGAGTCTGAAAAGATGTGTTTACAGCTCCCTGATCCTCTAGCAGAAGCCATCATACTTCTGAGTCTCATTCACATCCTTCCCCAGTGCTTGGGAAACCTAAACCCAAATCTCTACATTTGGGAGGTTGATTGATGGTGTCTCTTGGAGATCAAGAATTCAAAGATCTCCTGCCTATGCCACCCATTGGTGGGGAAGAAGTTCGTCCCATCCCTTCTCAAATGCTACTCTCCAGAGGCGCCCTTGTACTACTTCCCCATTCAGAGTAGTGGAGAGGGTGGGGCAGGAAACAGTGCCACCTGAGTGGTGCTTCTTGCTGTTTCTGAGGGAGGGCAAAGTGTGGCTGTAGTTGATGTTCAATCTACCAGCTTTATAATTGGGGTAGATGGCTCAGCACCCTCAGGGACCTGTGTAGCCAGCTCCTGGGAGAGTCCTCTGCTCCTCACCCCACCAGATTGCACAGGCCTAGGTAACCTGAGACTGGAAGAGACAGATTTGAGAGCTGGTGTTGAGCCTCAGTCTATATTAATAGAAGTGTCTCAGGGAGAGTTCACAGCAACCCCTGCTGGGCTGCATGGCACCCTACTGGGCTCTCTACCACAGCTCCCTGTGTTACTGTGAGCTGTGTCTGTCTCTCCAGATGCATCCAGATGTTCAAGGTCAGGAAGTGGGTCTGAAGCTTCAACCTCTGGCCTCCCCATCTTTTAGTAAAGGATTTTAGACCCACTGAGAGTTTTATTTGAGTCAACTTTGCTAAAGGGGTTCAGTTGTCTCAGAAAAGTTTTATATAAAATGAGATGCTTTCCAATAATTTTTTTTCTTAAGTGTACATGTGTTTGGTGGCAGGTGTTAAAGGAGAAAAAGGATCCTGGGGCATTCCTGGCTCAAAGGGAGAGAAAGGAGACCAAGGAGCCCAAGGACCTCCAGGTATTCTAGCTCTTTATCTAAGTTTTGCCTTTGATTTTTAGTCCTGAAAAGGCTGCAGAGTTGTGATTTGACTGATTAGTCATGATGAGACTAACTCCACGATTCTGACCACAAGCTACTCTGAATGCCAGCAAGACCTAATCATGGACTTGGAACAGTATCAAGGGAGACCAGAACTTCCAATGAATTGTTCATGTTTTATATGCAAAATGAGGTCCAAAGAGGACCAAAGTCTTTGTCTAAGGTATGGGTTGCTGGGCCTGGACTAGGACTATGGGTGCCACCAAATCTAGTGTCAAGCCCAACTAAGCCATCACAGGGCCACTTCTACTAGGAAATAACCCTGGCTACCAGCTTTTCGATTTTTGTTTTGTGACTTCTGAAATTACGATTGTGAATTTTATGAAACATTTCTTCTTCAGGTCCTCCAGTGGATCCAACTTACTTGAGACATTTTCTGAACAGCATGAGGGTAAGTATTCTCTCCTGAACGTTTGATGAATTATCTCAGTCCATTTCCCATTGCTATACTGTATGTGAAGTAATTCACGAAGCATAAAAGTTTATTCAGCTCACAGTTCTGGAGCTGAGATATCAGGAGCCACATCTGGTGATGGCCTTCTTGTTGACGGTGACTCGGCAGAGTTCTTAGGTAATGTGAGATGTCACACAATGAGGCAGAAGGAGGCCAGAAACAGCTCTTCTTAGAGCAAAACCATTCCCTAGTAATCCCATCATTAATCCCTGAATAATTCCAGAGCCATTAATCCAGAGCTCTCACTACCTAACTACCTCCCAAAGATCTCACCTCCAAATGCCTTTCATATATGATTTGGGGAATTAAGTTTCCAACATAGGGAATTTGAGATACACATTCAAACTAGAGGAGCCTGTGCATCCAATTTCTTGGGCTTATGTTGGAGAGACCTCATCCACAGTCTTCCTGAAATACTTTTATGTTTTCTCTCTTCCAGGAGGAGAATGGAGACAGGGGGATCAGAGGAGATCCTAATGGCAACTTCTTTGTATCTGGGCCTCCAGGCCTGCCAGGAAACCCAGGTTTGATTGTAAGTAATGACCTCTCTAGGTCATTTTCCCCAAGGACTCATCATGACATTCCCTAAGGTCCTCAGTCTGACTAGACATGCAGAGAGCCAAGGGTCAAGGTATAGTACAGGCTGGTGGCAGGAATAGGGCTGGGCCCACTCTCCCTACTTCTTGTTGATGTTTGGGAAAGTTGGCTGAGTCCCATGGATGGAAAGGAGTTTGCCCAGGCTGTAAGTAGTTAACTTTAAGTACTAATCACATTGCCTTATTTCTGTGCATTGTGGGAAATTTGCTTCAATGCAAAATGCTACAATTAAGACAGAATGGAAGATGTAGGTGATATTTCTAGAAAAGCCAGCTGGATCTTCTGATTTTTTTTTTGGTGTTGGTCATGGGGCTTGAACTCAAGCCTGGGTGCTATCCCTGAACATTTTTTGCTCAAGGCTAACACTCTACCACAGCTCCACTTCTGGCTCTTGTTTTTTCTTTTGCTGGTTAATTAGAGATATGAGTTTCATAGACTTTCCTGCCAGGGCTGGCTTTGAACCTCATTTGTGAGAAGTTAGCCTCCTGTGTAGCTAGGATTATAAGCTTTGGTCACTGGCACTGAGCTCTGCTGAATTTTCCTTTTTTTTTTCTTTTGCCAGTCCTGGGGCTTGAACTCATGGCCTACATGCTGTCCCTAGGCCTCTTTGTGTTCAAGGATAGCTCTCTACCACTTGAGCCACAGCGCCATTTCCAGCTTTTTCTAAGTAGTTTTATTGGAGATAAGAGTCTCACTCACTTTCCTGCCTAGGCTGGCTTTGAACCATGATCCTCAGATCTCAGCCTCCTAAGTAGCGAGGATTACATGCATGAGCCACCCACACCCAGCTTCTCTTCTGAATTTTTAACTGAAGAGGAAGCTCTTTGACAGACATAATTTTCTAAGGAGGAGGGAGGTTTTCCAGGCCATGAGAGAAAAGGTCTCCAACAAGACCATGACCAAGACATTATTGACCTCATGGACCAGAGCTGAGTTGGTCTCAGAGCTCTCTATAAGGGTACAACTAGGCTCCTACTTCTCATTGTGCCCCTAACTTGTGTTATGATTTGGGGACACAACCTTTCCCCTGTGGAAGCACCCTTCATCTGTGATGTATCAAGAATAGACTCTTGATCTCCTAGAGCCTTTTGGAGTCCATGGCTCTTAAGACTCTCGTCTAACTACGTAATGGCTTAGCATTGAAGGGCCTACAAAACCTGAGATTGTGCTCAGAACTGTGAACAATGACAACAGCAGCTAGAACTTACTCACTTCTTATGTATGTCCTCATACAGGACCAGGCAAGACTTCTAGCCATTAATGATTCTTTTGCTATTGCCTGCTTGCCTTCACAGGGTCAGAAAGGAGAGGCTGTTGTTGGGCCCCAAGGACCCCCAGGGACTCCTGGCCTTCCCGGACCACCTGGCTTTGGAAGACCTGGTGCCCCTGGGCCACCTGGACCTCCTGGGCCACCAGGACCTCCAGCTATCCTGGGCTCAGGTTGGTAGACTAGGAAGGGTGCCATCATTCATGTCACCTCAATGCTTGGGCTCAGTCTATACCTGAGCAGCATATAAAAACCATACTGTGTAACAGAGGGCTATTTTCTGGATGGGGCCAGCTTTCTTTTCTTTTTCCTTTTTTATTAAATTGAGATATAATTCACACATCATAAAATTCACCTATTTAAAGCACACAACTCAGTAATATTCACAGGGTCAGGCAGACATCACCACTGTCTAATTCTAGACCATTTTATCACACCAAAAAGAAATTTTGTGTCAATTAGCAGTTACTTCTCCCCACTTCTCCCCTAAGATCTTGCCTATTTGGGACATAAAATTGGAATAAAAATGGAACCAGACAACACATGACCTTTTGTGTCTGGCTTCTTTTTCTTTTCATAGTGACTCTAAGATTTATTCATGTTGTAGTGTATTCTGTATTCCTTTTTATGACCAAATATTATGTTATTGTATGGATAATCTGTTTATGGACCTTTGAGTTGCTTCTACTTTTTGGTTTTGGGTCCTATTTTGTTTTTAAACACTGGGCTTAGAACTCAGGGTCTTGCACCCTTGATTGGCTTATTTGTTTGGCTTGTACTCTACCATTCCAACCCAATACTGGACACAGTGATTCTTAAAAAGCTGAAAGCAGCCAGGTTCTAGTGGCGGCTTGCACTGATAATCCTAACTATTCAGGAAGCTGAGACCTGTGGATGACAGTTTGAAGCCAGCCAGAGCAGGAAGGCTCATGAAAAAGTCCTGAAGAAGGAAATACCTATTTATGTCTAACACAGATTGATAGAACTTGAAATTTTTCTGTATCCTCAAGATTGAACAGCTGAGAATCGACAAATCAGGCACTTTGGTGGTTGTGTCTCCTGACTCCAAAGCCAGGGCCCCTGTCATTGTACAACGCATGCCGCCCCCACCGTCTGTCCCATTTCTTCCTCTTTCTGAGCCCTCTTCCTCTCTTCCTCTGTTCAGTGGTCACATGCTGTCTCCTGGGTGAAGTCAGTTGTGTGAGTCAGGATATTTTTAGATGCAAGTGACAGAAAATGCAACTTAAACTGGCTTTTACAAATAATAATGAAAGAGATGTATTTACTTTAAAGCTGAAAAAGACTTGATACATCACGAAGAGCCAATCAAAGTGGCCTTTAATCTCATGCGTGATACAGAGACCTAAGGATGCAGGTGCAGGAATAGGATGCCCTGCATCTCCCAGACTTGGTTCAGAGTCCCAAGGATGCAGGGGCAGGGTTGGGATGGCCTGCATCCCTGGGGTGGGCTGGCTACGATGTGAGCATTCCTCTCCTCTCAGAGGTCAGCAGACACTGAAGAAGTTAGGTTTTGTTTTGTTTCATTTGTTTTAAAGGAGCATGCTGTATAACTTCTCTTTTCTGCTTTTTTTTAGCTGTGGCCCTTCCAGGCCCACCCGGCCCTCCAGGAGAACCAGGGCTTCCTGGACCCAGAAACTTGGTCAGTATTTTATCAATGTAGTTAATGTATCATTCCATTTTGGATGGATTTACAGAAAATGGAGGCTAGAATGTTTAGGGGGTAGCATCTCTTTGTTTAGGAAGTAGGATTCTACAACTCCCATCAACAGTAGAAGGTAATTTGTCATCCATTCACATGGCTGAATAAAAAGAAAACAAAATAATTGATATTAAAGTTTGACTCTAAGTAAAAAGAAAATGAAATAATTGATATTAAAGTTTGACTCTATGCATCTATCATTAACTATGTTCTAGCAAGAACCAATAACATTTTATGAAAATAATAAGCACAAGGATGTAGAATACCAGGGTGGGTGTTTGGGCTGGCCAGTCAGATTTACTTTGGATCATTTTGCTTTCTCTATTCTGCGAAGGGACATCTCTTGAGTACCTGCTGTTCCATAGCTCATTGAAGCAGAGTGTAGTGTATTATAATGCACAGAAATGAACAAGCACCTCACAAGTATGTCAGGATTCCTAGGCATACTCTGTGATTAATTTTTCTGGATTTTATAATCTTTTGCAATTTTGGAGACAGAGAAAGTAGGCCCTACTTTTTTCTATCATGTATCTAATTATATTTTACAAAAATGGAGATGTAAGTATAATTGTCTACTTGTTGGCATTTCTTTTGTTTGTTTTGCTTTCTGGGCCTCTTTTTCTTTTCTTTCTTTCTTTTTCTTTTTTTAGACAGAGTCTCACTGTGTAGCCTATGTTAGCCTCAAACTGGTCAACTTTCTGCCTCTACCTCCTCCTGAGTACTGGGATTATAGGCATGTTTCACCATACCCAGCTATGCTTGCATTTCTTACCCCTAAAGAAAAACTTGTTAAGTTTAAAACTTGTTTAAAACTTGATAAGGAGCAACATGACACCATTTTTCCAATGTTAATGCCATCCAGCAACATAAATAAATAGGGAGGAGGCAAAACTCACCAGTGATTTTGCTAAAACCAAAAACCCAACGAAGGCAGCTCTGTTGTTTTCTCTGTACTTGCAGACCTTCTCTTTTGTGTTTTAATCCATTTGTGATGTTTCAAAGCAACGCTATTCTGTTATTAGTGAAGTTATAGGTCTCACTAAGCGTCTGAGAGTCTGGCTCCTACTTGGCTTTATGAAAGGGGGCTGGTTGTTCAAAGTGGTGCCTGTTCCGCTGATAAATGCGGATTTCAAATGCTCTTTCAGATCTCAGCATTTGCCAACATGGATGATATGCTACAGACAGCACATCTGGTCATAGAAGGAACATTCATCTACCTGAGGGACAGCTCTGAGGTTTTTGTTCGTGTCCGAGATGGTTGGAAAAAGTTACAGGTGATTTTCAAACTTTTTGAATGAATACCACCTTGGGAAAAAATCATCACCTGCTCGGGGACCTGCCATTTTGCTGCCATATCTTCAATGTATTCCTTTTTCACAGCTAGGAGAGCTGATCCGGGTTCCTGTCAATAGCCTCCCACCACCTGCACTTTCCAGCAGTGTGAGTAGTTTCCCCGACATGCCTCTGGAACCTTCCTCTTGTCAGTGCTTCCTGATTCCTCTGACACCCAGCCTCAGTTTTCCTACTTGTGAAATCATCAATCAGTGCAAGCATTCTGGGAGAACCCTTTCTTTTTTTTACATCCCCTGCCTTGTGAACACACAGCAAGTAGCTGGGTGTTGAGATCTGAGGATCATGGTTCAAAGCTAGCCAGAGCCAACAAATCTGGGAATCTTAGCCTAGCAAAATGCCAGAAGTAGAAGTGTGAACTCAGTGCTAGAATGCCAGTCATGAGTGAAAAAACTGAGCGAGAGCTTGAGCCTTGAGCTCAAGGCCCAGTACTGTACTAGCACAAAAAAGCAAATAAACTCAGGCAACTGACATGGTCCATCTTTGAGCCTACTGCTTCTGCCCTACTGTGTCCCCTTCCTTTTGCAAATGGCAGAAGTGAGGCTTCCCAGAGGTTACCAGCTCTATTAAGTGAACATGTCAGCAGTGAAGCATGATCTTCCGCTCTTCAGCTCAAGACTTTTTCAAAGGTCTTAAGAACATCCCCTCCTTTCCTGAGAATGGCCACGGAACCCTGACAGTTGGAGAGTCACAGTTAAAGACAAGACCAAATGAGTTCCAGACTGATGCATAGTCACAAGGTTTCTGCTTCTCTTTTGTCTCACAGCCATATCACCCCCCGCCTCCTGTGAGCCCTATAAGTGGCAATTATGAGAGACCTGCTGTAAGTACAATTCGTGTAATTCTTCTGCAAACACTAAATGTGTGCTAGACCCTGTGCTTAGTGTCTAGTCCTACTGTCAAGATGCTCACATGCTAGTGAGAGAGTCAAATAAAACATGAACCATTGTAAGACAGGGCCAAAAGCATTAGGATAAGGCAAACCCAAGATGCTGGGGTTATGAAGAAGTCAAGGAAGTCTGCCTGGAGGAGGTGATCCCTGAACTAAAAGCTAAAGGACAGCTGGGTTCAGGAGTGAGCCAAGTGAAGAAAGAATAGGAATTCTAGGCACAGAAAAGATGGACCAGAGGGAGGCAAGGGGAAGCACTGTACATTCCTGACAGAATCCAAGAATTACAGCCTGGCCAGGGGAGCCCAATTTAAGGTAGAGAAGGAGAAAGCTTTGGATGCAGAGATTGACAGAGGCAATGTCTAGTCATCAAAGATCTGTAAACCAACTTAAGAACTTTGACCTATTCCTGTGAGCACTGGGATGCTGCTGAGGGGCTGAAGGGGGGAAATCAGATGACAATGGTCACTGAAAGTGAGTTAAAGAAGTCAGAAACAGGAGCCCAAACACCAGTTAGGTGGCTCCTGAGTTGTCTGAACTAGGGTCACAGCAGTGACTATGGAGGTAACTGGAGAGATAAGGAGGAGGCAAGCGAGACCCAGGTGTGGCTATGAGGATGAGAGATGAGGAGTAATGTCCAGATTTCTACTTGGGTGACCCAGGGCTCCTGGGTTCCTTCCTAAGAACCACTTAGCATTGTTGAGCCTAACAACTCTCACACCATCCCTCTGCTAGCCTAAATAAAGATCATAGCCAAATCACTATGGAAACTCTGTAGAACTCAACCACAGAAGCAGAAACACAGACCTGGGGTCTCTTTCCTGACTTTTAGTCTACGTTCCCGGCACCTCAGACTCTCCAAGTCTCACTTTCTGTCCTCCCTCCAGCACACCCCCAATAGACAGACAAAGACTCCATCCGCTTGTGTTGCCCAGGCATTCATTCTGACTCCAACTCTCTGTGGCCTTATGGCTTTAGAGCCCAAACCACCCGACTCAATTCAGATTCTTAGCAAAGACAGTCTCCGTGGTATATCTTGAAGCAATCATACATTGTCAATGCAGTCCAATCCAGAGCAGCTAGAAGCTGAGGTTGAAAGCCTAAGACTACTCTTTTAACAGCGGCACTTTTCAAAGAACAGACCTAGGCTTGACAGATGCCAGAAACATATGTCCTAGAAGGCTGCTGTCTCCAAGGAGGACCTTCCTTGGGGTATGGTGAATCTGAAATGCCTCTCAGCCACCCAAGTAGAGATAACTGGGAGGGAGTAGGCTATGAAGGGCTAAACCTGCTGTGGAACCTGGTCTAGAGACATTAACTCAGGAATCCTCAGCAGAACAATAGCAATTGATGAGGATGGTAGGTAGGGTCTCTGAAAAAAGAATATATACAGTGAAAAAGAATTAGACTATGGGGAGCAAAACCTTAATGGTTTTGTTTAATGGAAGAAAGAGAAGGAAATTCAGAGGCTTGAGAGGAAAAAAGCATGCTAAGCAAGTTACTAGACAAGAGTGTGAAGGCTGCCAGGAGGCCCAGAACAAGAACTAAAATGTGCCTTTCAAATTTAGAAGCTAGAGCAAAGCATTTCAGTAGCCAACAACATTAGAGTCAATTGAAGAGTAAATGAGAGGTTGGTATAGGTGCCTTTCAAAATGAAAGTTCTGGATACCGGTGGCTCAGGCCTAACCCTAGCTACTCAGGAGGCTGAGCTCTGAGGATTGCAGTTTGAAGTCATCCCAGGCAGAGAAGTGTGTGAGACCCTTATCTTCAATTAACCAACAAAAATCTGGAAGGGGAGCTGTAGCTCAAGTGTTAAGATGCTGGCCTCGGGCACAAAAGCTTGGGGACAACATTCAGGCAATGAGTTCAAACCCAGAACTGGCACAGAGATACACACACACACACACACACACACACACACACACACACACACACACACCAATAAGACAGACAGACAGAAAAACAGACAGACAGACACACACACACACACACACACACACCAATAGGACAGACAGACAGAAAAACAGACAGACAGACAGACACACACACACACACAGACACATACACATAAACACACACACAAATTTATGGCAAGTAGTTAATGGATTCATAGGGTAGTATTTTATAAATCCTGAGTTATATGTGTGTGTTGAATTGAAATCCTTTGTAAAACTACTTAAAGAAAATAAATACATAGTAATACATACTAGTAAATTTTGACAGTGCCTATAAAGAATGAAGGGGGAAAAAAGGTGTAACTCTACCAAAACTCCAACTACCCACACAATGGCCACTTTAACATGTTCATTATTATAACATGATTGTCTTCATTAAAATAATATCTATTCATTACCAAAATGGGCCAGTTAGTAGAGACACAGAAAACACCAGCCCCTAATTTTACTGTTCAGAAATAGCAATTATCCCAGATATTTCTCTATGTGTCTCCTTGGAGAAGGAGAGATGGAGAGTATAATTGGAGTGTGATAAGGGGGTGACTTCACACCCTGAACCATTCTCAGGTATTCTTGGGGAACCTCATGCTGTCAAGCCTGTGTAAGTGGCCTTAGATGAGGCCCCAGAATCCTACTGGCCAGAACTGATCAGACTGTAGGCCCTTATCTAAGGGGAGCAGTGATTCAGATGCTTGAGAAGGTAATAGGCAATTGGGGCAATGTAGTCAGATTTGAAGACATCTGAGAGCCAAGGTATATGTGGAGGGAGAAGAGATTGAAGTTAATGGCCTACCAGTGGTTGTGCTGAAAATGGGTAGCACACAGATCCCTTCCCATCCTGTTGACTGGTGACATCCAATGTCCCATGCTGGCACTAGAAGACCTATTAGAAACTTCATCACCATTGGAGGTAGAGGACGTGGCTGGGAGCTTCTTGACCTGGACCCCCATCTAGTATGGTGCTAAAGACAGAACCAGGGCAGAGTCAACTGAGTGGAAGCAGGCCTTAGAAGCTGTCCTATGCAAAGTGGAAGGGAAAAAGGGGGTGAGAGGACCAAATGTGCAAGTGAAAGGGCAGTGTGTAGAGTAGACATGGCACCTCATGGCCAGCTGTGGCCAACTGGCTGAAGCCTGAAAAGAGGAAGCAGACCAACAAAGTGGGACATGCAGTCTCTGTTCTGATCTGAGAGATAGCGCAGAAGCAGGGAGAGAAACACCAACCACCTCCTGTCTCCCATGCGGGGCTTATTGCAGGTCCTTTGGCTGAAGATATTTAAAAATGCTTTCCTAGGCTGGAGGTATAGCTTGGTGGTAGAGAGCTTGTCTAGCATGGAGAGACCCTGACAGGTCAAACTCAGCACTTCAAAACCGAACAAGAAAACAAACAAAAATCAAAAAGCGTTTTTCTTCTCTGCTGACTTGGGCCCTGATCCGTACCTGCAAGGCTTCCCTCCCTAGTGCTGAGATTGAAACCCAGGGACAAAGGCACCAGTGTTCCTTGGTTAGGAACTATATTCCAGAGACACGGAAGAAAGGGCTGGGAGACAGGGCCGTAGAAGAGCACTGGGTTTGGAGAGATCTTGTGTGTGAGGGAACAGGCTTTGCAGTGTGGTTGTTCAACAAGGGGGTAGGAATGTGGAGCGAGAAGGTTCTACCCAAGCAATCTTAGTACTAAATGCCATATCTTTCTCCATTTTAATTCCCTTTTACCCCTGGCCTCTTATGTGGGGCTGGGAGAGGGAAGAAAGGAGAGTCAGCAGTAGCTTGAGGAAGCTCTGAGATCCAGGGATAAAAGCAGCCAAAATTCGTGTTGGAGACTGAACCGGGGTGAACCCAGAGCTCTTGCATCTATAGGTCAGATTCAATATTCTAAAGTGCTTTATTTTGTCACCCAAGGAAGATACTCACACCCCATGGGCTGTTCAGAGAGCTGAGATGGGCAGCTGACCATCCTTCACAGGGATGGTCAGCTGCAGGGTCAGGTGAAGGTGAACTGAGCCTGCCTACACCATGTCTTCCATTCCAAAGGCTGGGGTCTCCTTGGGGATATGACATGGTCACGGTATTGGAGAGCACCTTTAATGCTGACTGTGCTGTCTTTCCTCTCTCTCTTTCCAGCTGCACCTGGTTGCTCTGAACATGCCATATTCTGGGGATATCCGAGCTGATTTTCTGTGCTTCAAGCAGGCCAGGGCTGCAGGACTGATGTCTACCTTCCGAGCATTTTTATCTTCCCATTTGCAAGATCTGTCCACAGTGGTGAGGAAGGCAGAGAGATACAGCCTTCCAATAGTGAACCTCAAGGTAAAGACATGTCCTCCTCCCACTCCCTTCTTCATATGACCGTCCCCACAAGAACTAGAGTGTTTGCCATTCCATGACCTTGACCATGGTGCAAGCCCAGCTCTTTTCCTCATTGGCTATGTGACTTTGGGCAGGTAACTTTCCCTCTCTGGTCCGCAGTTTCCTCCTATTTATAGAGACCTTCCCGCTTGGATGGCTCTTGGAGCAGGCAGGGGATAATAACCACTGCTTTCATTTATCAAGCTCTTTGTTTATTATAAAGCACTATATCTATTAGCTGAGGAGGTATTTCTGATAAAAATGAGAACTATTCTTTTCTCAGTTTGTCAGATGAGAAAACTGAGACTCAGAGGAAGAGCCGTTTGTTAGAAGTCACTGCAAACTTGCACTTATTTCTTTGACTCCTGTGTCTAAGGCTCTTGGTTTTACCAAGGGTATTTTCCAGATGGCTTTAAGCTCAGTAGCACTGAACAAAACAGACAGTGATGGTCCCAGAGCAGAGGGTCTTCATCTTCATCCTGTCTTGGTGCTTTCTAAGAGCTAAGCTATCCCTGCCTGCTAGACCTTTCTCTGCCTCTTTTGCTGGCTACTAGGTCTTATAAGAGTAGGTTATAACATGGAAATGGCCATAACCCAAGGATCCTATACAATCCATGGCCTCTGATTGAGGCCACAGAGGGACAGCTTGGTTGGTAGTCACACATATCCTGTGTCCTGGCAGCCAACTAGATTGCAATAGTGTATCAGGCCCCTTCGGTCCCTGTAAACCTAACAATACAGTGTTGAGCATGAAGACTGGTAAGTCCCATCCTGACTCCATAGCCAGCACCCTCCACCTGCTCTCCCAGGTATGGCTCTAGCACCCTCATCTGCTAGCTTTCTGGTCTCTGCAAGAGACCAGGCTCTTCTGTTCTGGAAAAGAACTTTCACCTCTGTACCATGCACAATGGTACAAATTTAAAGCTTAGTATATGTGCATAATATTTTAATAATAATAATAATAATAATAGAATTTAGTAGACTCTTCATGGGAGGAGTCTTCTACCTACATAGAATAAGAGATACCGCCTTAAGAAGAGAGTAAAACCAGAAGGACTGACTACAAAAATCAATCTATGTATGTATGTTAATGAATATATAGATTTGTATTTCTCAAGTTCCATTTCATCATGACTCTGGACTTGGGGCTGGGGACTTCAGTATGAAGTGGCATCTGGGTTTTGAAGACTGAGGAGCAAGCTAGTCCATTTGTAGTCTAATGTAGCATTTGTCTTTACAGGGCCAAGTACTTTTTAACAATTGGGACTCCATTTTTTCTGGCAATGGAGGTCAGTTCAATACACACATTCCAATATACTCCTTTGATGGCCGAGATGTGATGACAGATCCTTCTTGGTAAGTGAGCGTGGTGATCCACTTCTATATCATGATGATTTAGGAAGACTAATGGTGAGGTGTCTTATCAGTCTCCCCTTGAGGATATAACCATCAGAGAGCTACAGTGAGACAAATGAGGGCCCAGGGAAAGCCCTGGACTTAGAGCCAGAAAACAATATTGAGACTTTGGGCAAGGTACCTCCATTCTCTGAGCCTCAATTACCTTGTCTATCAGATGACCAAGACAACATATCTGCACCATAGGATCGCCATGCAGATAAAATGAATATTTGTAGAAGTGTATAGCATTTGTAGTGAGCATTTAACAAGTGGTAAATGGTACAACTTGTTGATCCCATAACTCTACCCTGAGAGTTGCACTTGAAATCTTTGAAAATGACATGTGCTTTTTAGCATAGAATAACTTAGCACACCTATTCCCCAGGGTCCTCTTTATCATCGGTCCAGTGCCAGACTGGGTGGGCACAGAAATAAATGGTTGGCCTACCCTTAATGCATTCCCAATCTACAGGGACAGATAGACACAGACTATGATTCTAGACAGTATATGATTATTGAAAAATGGAAAAGAAAAAAAACAAGGAAGACGACAGGAGCACAAATTATACATTCATTTTTACTTAAATACAAATCAGAGGTGGCTTTGTGTAAAAGGAGGCATCTAATGGGATTTGAAAGACAATGAGCCACTGGTCTGAAAGTAAACTGGAGACCACTCTAGATGAAGGGATCTCAGCAGCAAAGCTTCAGAGCCATGAAAGCAGAGGTGTGATTGGGAAATGCCTGCCAACTGCGTATGGCTGGAGTACAGTGTATTCATACAAGGCTGAAAAGAGCTGTGAGGACAAACAGGGGATCTGGCGTGAGTCTTTGGAGGGAGGTGGAGCTTAATGTGATTTGCTTAATGCCAGTCGATTACCAAGATAAACCACAAGGAAGTGTCATTTAAAATATAACATGGCAAAATTACTTTCTAGGCCCCAGAAGGTGGTTTGGCATGGCTCCAACACACACGGTGTCCGTCTTGAGGATAAATACTGTGAAGCATGGCGAACTGCAGACATGGCAGTCACAGGACTGGCCTCATCACTAAGCTCGGGGAAGATTCTGGACCAGAGGGCATACAGCTGTGCTAATAAGCTAATCGTTCTGTGTATCGAAAACAGTTTGATGACTGACGCTAGGAAGTAACAACCTTCCAATAAGTCTTAAAAAAAAAAAGTTTTCCATTTTTTTCTTATGTGAAGAGTTGACACTGAAATCTAAAATGTTGTTTAAATGTTGTAAATATTACAGTATTTTTTAAAAAAATTACTCATTCATCATAAAAGCAACCAAAGAAAACATACCTCAGTACACTCAAAATGAAAGATATAAAGGACTCAGATCAAAGGCATATCTGATCTACATATTGGTGCTAGATTCTCCAGGAAGCTGGTGCTGGCTGAACACATCCCAACACAGGTGAAAGCTATGGTCAAAACAGAAAATATCACCTTTCTTATTGCATCACTTCAAAAAGTGATTCCCCCTTCTAACCATGGCTGTTGAGTGTAAGATGTCCTTCATGTTTTCTTACAGTGAATGTTTAGAGACATTATCCCTTTTCTTTTCTTTTTTTTTTCTGGTCCTGGGGCTAAAACTCAGGGTCTGAGCAGTTGTTTTTTATTTGTTTGTTTGTTTGGTTGTTTTTTTTGCTCAAGGATAGCACTATAGCACTTGAGCCACAGCTGCAACTTTCAGCTTTTTGGGTGGTTAATTGGAGATAAGAGTCTTGTGGACTGACTACCTTTCCTGTCTGAACTGGCTTTGAATTACCAGATCTCAGCTAACTGAATAGCTAGGAATAAAGGCCTGGCCATTATCCCTTTTCTAAGTTATGTGCAAATCAAACACTTTATTTCCACACATTTATCATTTGCAACTGCTGTTCCTTCCAAGAAACAGAATGCTTAAATGCTCCTTATGTGTATTTTCTTATAGCATCAGACTTTAATATGTTTCTTACCTCCCTCTTAAATATTATTGCCAGCATGCTGTAAGAGTTTGATTATTTTTACCCAATCATATTTTAGTGTGGCATGTGTTTATATAACTCTGACTTGCTGGAAAAGTTGAAACTCTAAATTATCTGAAACTAGAAGAGACAGAGCAACATAATGACTACTCTTTCCCTTGGTAGCCCGGCTCCCCATCCTCCACCCAATTTTTTGATTGCCATTTGACAAGTCTTGAATTACAACTGCAACTGAAACAAATAGGTTGGTAGGAATGAGTTTTCTGAGAAAAAAAAGAAGTGTCATCATCCTGCTGTGTACTTTGATCTTTTGTCCGTGTAAGTGAACATAAAAACATCTTTTCCAGGCGCTTTCTTCTGGTTGCCTTTTTCTCGCTGGTTCCTTTATTCTTTGTCACTGATGTGGAAGTGACCTGGGGTGCATCTGCTAATTCCATCCCCTGCCTCTAGTGCTTATCCTCAGGCAATGATCTGAGCACCGAAGATTTTCCCATTATGCTCTCTGCTCTTGTCATCTCCTACTTGGTGAGACGGGGGAGGGACAGAAGAGCCCCAGAGAAGAAGGCAGGATTCATTGTGCATCTGCCACTGGCTCAATGCATGAGCCTGCCTCTCAAGGAGGCAGGAGAAAGCACAGTGTCAGCTTCATGTACTAAAATCAGACTAATTAGAGGCCTCATTTCCTATTTTTTTATGTGCCACTCCTGAGCTTGAACTGGGTACTGTCCCCGAGCATTTTTTTTTGCTCAAGACTAGCACTGTCCCACAGTGCTAGCTTCACATCACAGCTTCAACTCTATCTTTTCTGATAGTTGATTGTATACATGAGTTTTATGGACTTTCCTGCCTGGGCTGGCTTTGAACCACTTGTTTGCTTTTTATAATAACTCAGCAAAGTGGAAAATCTCCACTGTTCAAATGAAGCCCCCAAATGGAGGTTTAGGTACTTACTTGGATCAGTTCTCAAAGCTGGTGAGTAACAGGGATGGTTTCAGACTCAGGCTCCATCTCACTCCAGATCCTAAGATCTTTCCCAGGAACCACTGTGCAAGGCTGCCTCTTCATTCCTGCCCAGCTCCAAGTGTTTGACTTTGGTTCTGGTTTGACTCAGGAGAAGCATGGTCACTAGCCAGAGGCATGCTGAGATGCATTTCTCCCATTCAACTGGGTGGGCCCAAGACACTTGGAAAGGTAAATTCTACTTCACAGTCCTTGAAGCAGGAAATTGAGGAAAAAAGCAGCCCAGAATCCATACTTAGGAGCTTCACGAATGGAAGAACAGCAAGGATCTTCTTTATGAGTCATGGAATAAAGACAGCTATAGCTGTAAAGTCCCAGAGATGGATGGTTGGGGACCAGCTCAGCCACAAGTTACAGAGTGGGGGTGCCTGGCATGGAGAGGCATCACTGGAGGATGAAGACAGGAGGCTCCCAATGTCAGGAAGTACAAATGCCATCTATTCCTGGGCCTATGGGGCAGAATAGGTTTGGACTTTGGGAAGAGAGCAGACAGGAGATGAATATCTTTTGTTAACCCTAGGAAAGGGCATTGAAGATCCTTCCCTTGCCCCTCAATCTTCCTGCACTGGAAGAAGTATAGCAGGCCTCCCAGAGGAGGCCCAGAGTTAACCACAGCCCATCCACAGTATGACCTGGCAATCAAGACCCTTCCCTGAACATTGGCCTCCACCTAACCTCTTGTCACATGGCAAAGTCCACTGCCCCACTGAAGGAAAGCCTTGATCTCTAGGTCTGTGCTGGTCCTTCCTAATGGCTGATGCATGTGTGACATCCCCCACTCCCCTGGACCTGCCTATCTCTTTTCATATTCTGAATCTTGCTACCCAACTGAAATATGATGGCAGAAGGAGATCCAACCCTTCAGTTTACCCCCATGTCTGTAAACATTGAATATGCCTAAAGACCAGGAAGCTAACTCGTGCTCTCAGGAATAATACAGGAGGGGAAATTTCTACCACAAGTGGCTAATCTTCATAGTGCCAAAGGTCTTTTGGCTACTTGCTCTGAGTCCAGCTATGTATGGAACCAGAAGACAGGAATGCCTACCAACACATGTTAGGGGCCAGACCCATGCAGGAGCAAGATTAGGGTTGAGAGGGGCAAAGGATCTAAGAAACCATGGTGGCAGAGCATGAAGGAGAAATTCTGTAGAATCCCCCTCCCAACCTTGATGTGTCACATAGTATGTCCTGAAGTAGAACCAAGAAAATGAGGAAAATTGACCACAGCAGTCCCACGCCCTTAGGTTTTTTTCGTATCCTCTGGTCTCTGTGGCTTGTGCAGTCACTTCAACTTGTCAGGGGCTATCGGTAGAATTCTAAAAACTATCAGCAGCCTACAACAACTGAGCATTAGTTATGATTCTTTGTATTAGTCAATAAGAGAAACACAAAGCCAAAAAAAACAACCAAACAAAACACCAGCTGATAAGATCAGAAGCACAAAGGTTACAGAGACTGAATGTGGCAATGTGGTCAGTGTATGTGTGAGAGAGAGGAAGAGAGACAGAGACAGAGAGATAGACAGACAGAGTCTGCCTTGCTTGCTTGCTTCTGCTTTGATCCAAAGGATACTCCTTTCCTCTGAGGACAAGATTTCTTCATGCTTCATATGACAGGGGTAACTGCAGAGAGCATCAGGATTATATCACCCTGTATTACCTCATCACCCTGAGAGTGGCTGCAGAGGAAAGAGGAGACTTGCTCCTCACTCTGAGATTACATCAGTTCCTGGAAAGGACTCCAATTAGTCCCACTTGTGTTGTATGCCTAGGACAAGTTGCATGTTGATTGGCTGCTCCTCCAGTGCAGTGGAAGTAATTGCTCTACCCCCCATACACAGAGATTTGAAATAACCAGAAATCAGGAGCAAAGAAGGTTGAGAAGACTCCTTCTACTACTACTACTACTACTACTGCTACTACTACTATTACTACTGCCAATAATAACAACAACAATAACAGATTCTACCACATCCAGCTACCAGAACAGGTTAAATGTGAGAGATAGAATTAAAGGCAGGGGTGAGATCACACTGGCCTTGAATTCTGGTTTAAGGTATTTAGACTTTACCTTACAAGTGATAGGGTACTTTGAGAAGATTTAAAGAAGATAAGAGATTCATGTTTGAAAACAGCCAAGCAGGTCTTTCTTTTTTCCATTTGTCCTACTGAAATGTTTGTTGAATAATTTATTTTTTAACCAGGGTCATGTTTCAATTTCAAATCTACCAAGTCCATTCAATACCACAGACCATGGCAAATCTCATATACATTTCTTGTTCTTTCCCAACCCTTAGAAACTCTGGCAGGGACTACTATATGATGTGTGGCCATGTCACCTAACCTCACAGGAAATAGGCTTTCTTAATTAATTCCAGGGTCACCAGGGTGCTACTGAGTCTCTTTGAAGCTCTCTAATAAAAATTTCTTCTTTTGGTCTTCAACCTTGTGCTTCAATAATTCAAGTGGCAGTATAGAAGGAATTCAAGTCTAGAATTTCAATTTGTAGGTTTCAATTTTGGCTCTGCTACTTTTTAGCTGTATAATTATAGGAAATTACTGCAAATATCCAAGTTACTAAAAATAATCCTTACACCCCAATCCTCCTCTGTGGCTCAATGGCCTCATCAATAGAAATAACCCTCCACTGAGTGAACTCATTGGTAGTATTGTAGTGAGGCTCTGGCCCTAAGTGAGTGTCTTACCAGTGTTCACTATCCTTGGCTTTCCTGGGTGTCTCCCATGAGCAACCAGAGAGTTCCTCCTCCAGCCTTGGCAGATGATGTCTTCTAGTCTGCCTTCTTTCTCTGCCCATTTCCAAGCCCAGGCTATGACTCAATGTTTACTCATTGGCATAGCTCTTGTTGTTATAAGTGAATATTCTCTGTCCCAAATCCCAAATACCCTGGCTATTCAGCTCCTCTGCATGATCATTCTGCATAATCCAACAACTAAAATGTTATTATCATTGGCTCAGTAGGGGTTCCAAGACTCAGGCCCTACATTAGGACTAGATTCTTTCTAATTGACAGGAGCATGTGCCACAGTGACTTCTGAATAGATGCATTATTCCCCTGCTTAAGCCTTTCCAGTGCCCTGAATTCTAAGAAGGTGCCAGAGTGCCTGCCCTGTTATCTGATATGCTGGTAGGAGGAAATTGCCTACCTTACTCTCTTAGACTTGCTCCTTCTATCAGTAGATGGCACCCATCCAGGCAGGGACTCAAGAGTCATTTATCTACTTATTCATTAAACATATTTGATATATGCTTTTTGAGAGAGGATCTCACTATGTAGCCCAGACTGCCCTGAAACTCATGATTCTCTTGCTTTAGACTCCTACACCTACTGATATATTTTTATTTTTAATTGACACGTAGTAATTCTATATGTTTGTGGGATTGGAATGCTATTCCAATAGAAGGATACAATGTATAGTGATCAGAGTAGGGTGATTGGCATATTTATCACCTCAAAAATTTGTCATTCTTTTATTCTGGATATATTCAAAATCCTCTCTGCCAAGCTGTTTTATTAAGCAAAAATTGACTGAGTGGCATTAATAAGAAGCCATAAGAAATGTTCAGCAAACTTGAGATATTTTTATGATGACCACTTTGGCTTTTAAATGTCAA